ATAAGAAAACTTTCTTCGGGGTCAAAAGTCCATCGAATATCATGCCTACAGGTACGGTACTAGTAGGTTACCGTACCGCATATTCCTTTCGGGGGATAGATTATAAAATATTTTATTTTGCTCTACTTGTCCTGATCATATATTGAATGCATCAATCATTCTAACTGAGCTGAGTGACTTACGGGTCGCACTAACATTAATCTTTCATATCAACGCGGGGGCCGCAAACTATCGTCCTGCGGCCGCCATTGGCCCGCGGGCCGCGAGTTTGAGACCCCTGCTCTAAAACTAACTACTACAGCAATGATAAACAGGGGGTGGGGGGAAGTGTGGGTGCGAAAAGCATTTGGAAGGGTGCCACGAGTCATAAAAGGTCGGGAATCACTGCGCTAGGCTATCACGCATTCAAGAAGTATCTGTCGCTGTGGTATGATTATCTTTTGAGGAAAGATTCGGGTAAGCGCAGTAGTGTCCAAGCTTTGCCGTGAATTTTCGCCCTTCGCCTATTTTAAAACTCTTCATTTTCCCATCACTATTTCCAAACGACTTTATTTATTCTGTGCCGTGAAATCCGAGTTCGTCATGTTTTCACTGCAGTGAAAAACCGTGGTGGTCGACGTTATTGCAAGGTTTTTGGTGGTTTTTCACTGTTTGACATGTCTTCCTTCGGCGTCGAAATTCTCAATTCTCCCCAAACTGGAATTTCAGACTTTCCATGGCGATGGAAGAAGCTAAAATTTCCCACAGAATCTCAAAAAAGGCATTAAGTTTAGCAAGCGTTATTAGCAGTCTATTGAACTTCAAACTTGCCTGAACTTCAAGAATCTCTTTGCAGCATACACACGAAGGAATTTCATTAGTGATATACAACATACCGCGACATTGAACAGAGCGTTTTACCTATTTGTTTATAGATAAAAGCGATATTCACTTTTAGAGATAATAGTAACAGCACATAGACAAATATTCGATAAATGATTTTTTATTCCATATTTACAGAATCAAAAAAAAACGACAGATTCAAATATACGAGAAAGAGGTTCTCCCGTAGTATATGTACCAGGTTGGGGTTAGGCCGTAATTTTATTCCGTTTATCTTTATTTAGTTCTATTACCAGTTCGGGGACTGTCTGTGTTAGCCAAGTGAATATACCCCCTGCCCATAGGTTTCAGTCCCTTTACACAACTTGATGTAAAGTAGGCGAACAAAATTAGTTACCTCCACATTGGTACACTCCAGTAGTGGGATTCAAATTTTTTGTCAGTCGGTTCCTTCAGAAAAGTCATATTTTTCAGCCGGTTCTGTTACAAACAGAACATTGACAGTAACCAGTAATGCTGACCGGTTCGCTGATCTCATAAAATTCCGTCAGACGGTTCTATAGAACCGGTGCGAACCGCCTGAATCCCACCACTGTCTTACACGCACTTCTGAAGCGCCGCAGTTTGCCTTTTTGTATTGAAGCTTTGAAATAGGATATCAAATTCATTGTTCTCCAACACCCAATTTTATTTTTTCAAAGTCCGAATAATATTCTTTATTTCATTTATTTGAATTTACGTTTACGTAGATAGCGGACGTAGGTTTTGTTTATTCAAAGATCTGATCTCGAAATTCATAGAGCCACGCAGGGAATTCAATTAATTGCTGCCTGTATTAAAAAATGGGATCGTTTAAAATTTAAAATATATTTTCAATACTTATTATATAATTTGTATGTAATGTATATTATTGGACACCGGATGGGCTTATGGCTCGTTTTGTTATTATGTTGTTGTTGTTATTCTTTATGCATTATTATTCTTACTATTGTTATGATAAAATCGCCTTTCTTTTCAATTACTGGACCTATGGCTTTCAAATTTTTAGTGGTATTTTTCGGTACAAGGCTATTACTTTTATTTATTTCGAATATATCTGTGATCTTCATGGGATTCGTTTTTTGTGTTGTATGACGTCATTATAGTTAATGATGCGATATTTTCAGGACACAAAGCATATGCTGAAATTTCGAATAAGTTTTTAGATGAAAGCAAAAAAGCTGCGTGGTAGAGGGAAATGTCCCATTTTGGAAAACATAACGGTGCCAAGGATAAAAGGGATCACTAAAGAACCTTGCTACGCCGATAAAAAGTCAATATAAAGGAGTTATCGGCTGTCATTGCATATCTGGGTTATAAGTGGTGATTCTTACAAACTTTTCAGCGCTCTGATATATCATTTTCAAGTCGATGCTATTTGTACTTCAGACAGTTTCTGACGATGGTTTATTGCTTGTGTAATGTGTTTACTACTGACGTTTACGATAAGACGTGTAGGTATAAGATATTAATTACAAAGAAATAAGAGATATTCAAGCTGGTATCCAATCAAAGTTTTAAGCAATATTCACCAAATTGTTCCGTCACAAAGTTACAGGAATTCCGAAATTGAAATTATACATATATATTCCTTATTTTCTCCGAATAGTTTTTTCAAGTTTCTTCCTTCTGGGTTAAAGTTCTTGAAAAAATGTCGTGGTTGTCTACAAGCCCATTCACTGCAAGTACAACAGTTTAAAACAGCGGTTCCGAAACTTTTTGTTCGTGTGTCGCCAAATTATCATAACGACAAAAAGTCAACTCTTCTTTTCCATCTCTGCCTGATTTTTCTTTGAGAAGCTGAAAAAATTACACGTGTTCGCTAAACTCGCTAAAGAGTTGTTTTGTATATATTTGACCCGGGGTCTTCTTCAAATATCCGCACTTGGGTTTGGTTTACCAAAACAAAAGAGCAGTGATTCTCAAACTGTGGGGCGCGCCCCACATGGGGGCGTAGACAATTTTTTGAGAAGCTAAATAAAAATATCATTAGATCTTATTCATTAAAAACCCATCCTACGCGCAAAAAATAAAAGTGATGTAAAAATTTTTTTTAACATTAGCTCTCATGGGAAATGTGATCACCAGAGCAGAAATTTGCATTTTTTGTAATATTCTAGATATCTTTCATTGTATATGTGAGCAGTTTTGAGGATAGAATATTTTTTACATTTTTTTTGATATTTTTATCATCAAAAATAAAAATATCAATTGGATGTGATCTTCTCCGCCGTATTTCGGTTATTCAAATTTTTTTTATTTTGAATATTTACGTTCCATTCACGTGTTTTTCAAACAAAACATACTTTCATCTTAATATCTGTTATTTGTAGATTATTGTTAGCTAGGTATTTTTGAGGTGAGGCGCGAGACAAATTTTAAAAAGGGGGTGCGGCGCAAAAAGTTCGAGAACCACTGCAAAAGAGCAAGGATCAGAGGTATGGACACTGAGGTTACGCATATGTAGGTAAGACTTTATCTCTGACATGGGCGAACTACGGCCTGCAGGCTAATTCCGGCCCGTTGAATAATTCAATCTGACTCGCCTGATGCTGCCACAACCACAGTAAGACCAAATTTCAATTTTTTGGCTAAAAATAGTTCAAGGAATTTGTTGAGTTCTCAAATAAAATTAGTTTTTGCACTAGACTCATTGTTTTCCACTTTTTTCTTGTAACTTCGAAAATATTGTTCATAAAATGTACCTTTTATGCCACACTCACATGGCCCGCCAGTCGAAAAAGGAAAAATTGAATTGGCCTCTGGTCGAAAAATTTTGGCCACCCCTGCTTTAGCTGATATCGGCAGTCAAGCGTGACGAAGGCAACAAGCGCTGCCATATTTCGTAAATGAACGATTCTGTCTACATCGCATTTATATATTGCATTGACATTCACGGTAATTACAGTCTCACACTCAAAGCAATACACACCGCGGAGATGGAATTAGAAAGAGACGTTTCAATTGAAATAGAATAATTATTAAAAAATTGTTAATATCGATGCAAACACATCACGAAAACGAAATATTTTTTCCATTATACAGAACCTGCTCCACCTGGTTATCAACCGAAATGTGAACCCGATAAACCAGAAACATGTGGCATGGACCAATTGGGAACATGGCACAAGGTATGTTGTCCCCAGCTGGCGTGGTACCAATTGATAGGCCTCCACAAATACCACCATAAATGTTGATAAAACAAGGAAAATTGAAAGACGCAAGGAAAGATGGAAGACTGATTGGACTTTCAGGATCAAAAAAATAAAGAAAACCACGATTTTATTTGTACAATATTCATATTTTTAACACTAAGAGAAAGTAATACGGATAAAGAAGAAGTGGCATAGGCAATGGTTCTTGGTCATTATTGCCATTGACAAATAGTTTTGGGATCGCAAACTAACGTTTTGCAATCGAAACTAAATTTTTTAAAACATAAAATTGTTTGGCTCAATATTGTTTTTATTTTTATGCGTATTTCTTGTGAAAAATACTTAATACACCCATTTTTAAGTACTCCCGTAGTGTGTGGTTATGGTTAGGCCATAATTTTATTCCGATTTTCCCTGTTTTAGTTTTATTACGAGTTCGGGGATTGTCTGTGTTATCCAAGTGAATATACCGCCTGCTCATAGGCCTCCGTCCCTCTATACACAACTTGATGTAAAGTAGGCGAACCAAATTAGTTACTTCTATATTGGTACACACACTTCTGGAGCGCCCATTTTTAATATTAGTACGTTTGCCCCTTGGCCATTGTAAAGAGTGCAAAAGTGAATGTATTGAACAGAGACACGAAAATATTTTTATTATATCATTTCAATGACAATAAAGGAGTGCTTGAATAAACATTCAGATGAAATGAATTGTATCATTTATTGGCTGTCAGAATCTTCATCCATGTGTGAGTGTGTGTGATGTTGTAATCGCGTAGGCGTCTTTACCTGGGTAGCTAATTTGATTTGGTACCAACCTGACATTATAAATTGAAAACAGAAAAAACTAGCTCATTTAAAGCCATGAAAATTGGTATTTTCTATGTTTATTCGATGACAATTTTATAAAAGGTGATTTAATTCGTAATATCATAGGAAGCTAATTTCAGTCTCCACGTGGCCAGTTTTTCCTCCAGCAAATACAAATTTTTATCAAAAAGTACACAATAATATACAGAAAAAGGTGACAATTTTCTGGGAACACTGATTTGATTAATTGTATACTTTTTGATTACTGATTACAGCATTCGATAGAAGGCCGATCTCTTTCGTCTCTTCTTTGGCACTACACCACCACACGTATCCGGTCTTGTATAGTCACATATGGGTCGGTACCCTTTTGGTATAGGAGCTGAAAATGATATAAAAAAAAAATGGCCTTCAAAATACCGCTACGAGTTATAGTCAATATTTGGGGCTCCCAAAGTATGCGAACCAAAATGGCGGGCATCGGAATGTAATATGTGTACTAGGTTAGGGAAGGCCATCATTTTAGGTATAAATACTACGGGAGGCTCTTGGCTAGTCTTCGAACTGATAATAGGACTAAAATAAAGAAAAATTGGAAAAAAATTATCGCCTAACCCTAACCTGTTACCCTTGTTAGGTTCCGATGTCCGCCATCTTGGTTCGCATACTTCGGGAGCACCCAATATTTTTCCCCATCTTTTTATTGTATGGGGATGTTTCAAAATTTTGGGGGTAGTAAATATTTGGTTATTAGCGATAAAACTATTTGTAACTTATAAAAATGTGTTTGACAGACTATCTACTAGTGATAAATATGCCACTTTCTGAATATTCAAATATAAAGGTATTCATCCTTTTATAGAGGGTTTAGAGAAATCACTGAGTTCTTGTGCATATTGCCGAACTGATTAAAACTGGGAATTTGTATTAATTAATTTGAACTTTAATTATACATGCATGAAAACATCATAAATACGAAGGGCTTTGATATTACTTCAAAGGATTCGTAAGCATCCTAGAAATCCTTATAGAATTGCAATTTTGCGATATTATCGCAACGATGCGATAAACAACACTGTTTACGAATACTTTTTGCTCTTTCATACGAGAGATTATTGAAATAAGTCCACAACATAAAGCATTGATCAATCGGATTAAACTCCGTGGCCAACCCAACCAGGTCTGGGTTAACTATGAAGCCATCTAAGCACTCTTGGGACAACAAGAGAAGGGGTTACAACAGAAATTTCATAGCAAATTTTCAATGATACCCCAGTGTTAAATGAAATAATTGGAGTTCATCTGACAACACAGACCTCAATATTGGTTGAATTTTTTCTCAAATATTATAAACTATTATACATGTTTTGTAGGTATGAAAACGGATTAAAAAAGAACACCAGTTTCATTATAAATATTTTTAACATATAGGGCACTAGAGTCTTAATTACTTAGGGTCTCTCAATTGCATGATCCGACCATGAACCCAACCAAATTGGGTAGGGCACGGCATGTATTAGCTTTGTACATATACGCAAAGGGGCGCTCCAAAAGTATATGTACCGATATGGAGGTAACTAATTTTGTTCACCTACTTGACATCAAGTTGTGTAAAGGAACTGAAACTAATGGGCAGGGGGATTCACTTGGCTAACACAGACAGTCCCCGAACTCGTAATAGAACCAAAATAAGAAAAATCGAAATTAAATTATGGGCCAACCCTAACCTGATTCACATACTACGGGAGTATCCACCACAAAAGTATCCAACAGATTGTAGTTCGTATCAAAGGTGTATGTTCCTCATATAAACACATTTGAATTTTTTTCTTCAGTTTACAAAGTCAACTATACTCACCAATGTCCTTTGCATTCAGGCATTTGTAATTCTTGTCGTGCAATTCCAAATAGTCAGAAGCAGTGATGCGTAACAACCTTTGACCTAACGTTTCTTCATCTTCACCTTTTTTCGGGTGAATCCCAATCGTTCTCATGGCCTCACTAAACAAGAGGACAAAGCTCAAATATTAAAAAAAGCGCGAATAGGTACCGGTACGTTAAGGCTTCAGTACCAAGTTTGACGAAAACATCGGCGGACAAGGTCGATGGAATATATTCATCATAAAAAATTTATGTAAAATAGGTTTCATATGACTTAAAACAAAATAGCAAAACTTACAAGTAAATATCAGGGGTCATATGATTACTAGCGATTACTTCGATGTTATGCCCAATATTTAAAATTTGCACATACTGGAAAACAGTGCTATACGAAAGTGCTATCACGAAACTGGGGTTCAGAATCTCAACCTACAATACTATATTTCGCTTAGAACCAAGTTCGCAGAGCAAAACGCCCACAAAATGGAAAAATTCATTCAACTACAATCCTCCAATCCTACAATCCAATAAACGGAAATCGAGTTTCTATAACTGAGTCCGAGCTTAGTGATAAAAAATTGCTAATTTCGTTTTTTAATTACAGTAAGATACTTACTCGCAATACCATCTTGAAGTGCTTTCGTTAGGTTGCTTTGAATACCACAGACCAATGATCGCATCATTTGACATCGCTTCGTCCTCTCCGATGTAAACTTCTCCTGTGAGGAATTAAGAAGTATATATTCAAAGAGGATTAACTATTATTTATATTTGCTGTCATTCAGATATATTGAAAAACATACAACAGAATTTTTAAACTTCAGCATCTCAAGTCATTTAAGAAAAAGTTAAAAAGTTCCTTTAAATTTTAATTTTGGTATGAAGTCAGTTCTCAATATATCTCAACCAGGTTTGGTGTTTTTTAATAAATATTTGTTTTAGTTTTTTTTACCTCATTTATTACATCTGTGAGGGCCAAAACAATACATGGTATCGATAAATACCCTTTGCAATTCATAAAAAAATTTAAGACTTCATGGACACCCGATATATATAATTTAAAATTCAAGGACTGGAAGAAAATATCCTGACATATTTAGCGCAATCTACCAGAAGCCTGAAAAGACACTTCAATAGGTGAATGCATTTTTGCATGGACTTCTGCGATATCAAGAATACAATTCATGCAAATGCCCGGGATTACTTCTTGAGGCACGAGTGCTAAATGATTGAATTTGATTATTCAGATTTTAAATCCTCAATTTGGACGTGCAAAAGATAGCGACAAGTTTTGCTAAAAACACTTTTCATAAGATCAATAATCAACATTTTTGGGTACCCCCGTAGCATGTGAACCAAATGGCGGACACTGGAGCGTAGTGTGTGTACCAGGTTAGGGTTAGACCATAACTCAAGGTACAAATGCTACGGGAGTCACTTGGCTAGTCCCCGAACTTGTAATAGAACTAAAATACGGAAAATTGGAATAAAATTATGGCCTAACCCTAACCAGATACACATACTATGTTCAGGTGTCCTCCATCTTGGTTCTCATACTACGGGAGCGCCCATTTCAGCCTGGATAGCCTATGTTAAATAAACGTGCGGCCCGCAGTTTCATCCATTTATTTCTATTTCTATTTCTACCCTACTGTATTAAAGGTTGTATACCCCTGCTGATGAAAATAGTAAAGCAGGTCGGGACGGTCCCGATTGTTAGTTAGCGTCCACTCAATGTACCTTTCCGTGTCTTATGTATATTCTTTATGATATATTCTCGCATCTTCTTGACGACTTCTTTAACTTTTGTAACGTTGTACGTCGTATCCGTCATTTGGGTTAAACATTGAAACGGTCTCAGAATCCAGATAGTGTCGTCTAATAAAATATGGAATTTGTTATTTATAAATTTTTAAGAGAAGATATTAGTCCTCTAATATCCAGGGAGGCGTAGACAATTTATTGATAGGGCGTGAAGCTAAGTAAAAAGAAAAATATTTGTTAGATTTGATCTTGCTTGCCTTATTTTAGATATTTGCATTGGTGCTCCCGAAGTATGCGAACCAAGATGGCGGACATCGGAACGTAATATGAGTAACAGGTTAGGGTTAGGCGATAAATTTTTTCCAATTTTCCTTATTTTAGTCCTATTATCAGTTCGAAGAATAGCCAAGAGCCTCCCGTAGTATTTATACCTAAAATTATGGCCTAACCCTAACCTGGTACACATATTACATTCCGATGTCCGCTATCTTGGTTCGCATACTTCGGGAGCCCCTTTGCATTTCTATCTGCTATTTGTAGCTTGTTGTTAGCTAGTTATTTTTTAGGTGGGGTGCGAGACTTGACAAATTTAAAAAATGGGGTGCGACTTAAATAAAAGAACCATTACACTAAACAAATATCGACACATTATTAAAAATGGATTCAAAACGTTATGAGCTAGTTCTCTTTTGTATCGAATTCAAGAGTTTGCAACCTGTGGCCCGCGGGTCGAATGCGATCCACAGAGAGAAATTGTGCGGCCCGCGAAGAAGTCCCAATTTTGAATGATGAAGCGACTTTTTAATTTAGTTTAATGTGGTACGTGCGAGTATTTCCAAGCCCTTTTTGTACCTGAAGGTTGCACACTACTGATCTAACTCACTAACAACATGTCTCCTGATTTCACCACGATGAATGTATAGCTTTAAAAAGAAGAACGGGTTCGCTGATATTACGGAATAACGAGAACAGGTTTGAGCCGTGCGAACCCCCTGATTCCCACCACTGGTTATACCCCTTTACAATTGCCAATACTGGATTATCGCGTCTCCTTTCACTCCAAAATGCATATTTTTCCCCCTTATTACCTCGTTTCTGTATGTAAAAAAGTGTATTATTCAAGATGGTGATAAAATAAACTACTGTTTACTGATTGCTGTATTTCAATAAATTTTCCTACCAAGTGCAAAGTCAGGTTCTCCAAAACTTCCATCTGAATTTTGCATTTCCAGTAATTTATCGACGAAACGCTTTTCAATATGATAGTGGTTGATGCAGAGAGCGCTCAGAACAAGAGAGTATTCGCCAATAAAGTCTTGTTCAATGGTAGCTGGATAAAATAAAATTGAGCATGTAACATCCGTTATGTGGAGAAGTGTTGTCGAAGTCCTAATCCCCGATTAGCCATTCAAGTCAGTTAACTAGACACTCGAGTGTAGTCAATCACTAAGTTAAGTCTCACTGGCGATGAGTTGAATACGAGATAAAGTTATTCTATTTAAATGAACCCGTTCATTGACTTGAGTTACCATGTACCAATAATTCGGCTCATGACGAAATTGAGGCTTTGCGCACTTATGTTTTATCTCTACAGAAATCAATTTATTTCTTGAGTGTTTACTGTCTGACAATTCATTCGTTTATGTACATTTAAACATTATGAATTACGTGAACGACTATTTTAAAGCAAGCACAAAATAATCCTAACTTGAATTATCTAAGTAGGCGCCAATCTCATTGCTGATTGTTCGTAAAAGATCTTTTCCACTGATTTTTTCGGGATCGAGACACAGAGCTCTGGCAGCGAACGAGAATTCTGCAAGATCGAGAACGTCGAGACTGGGAAAGAAATGAAAGTATTATATTAATAGGTATAATTTAATAGATTGAAGCAAAATTTGTAGTTACTGTATAAAGCACTCCCATAGTATGTGAACCAAGATAGTGGACACCGGAACGTAGTATGAGTGCCAGATATTTTATTTGAATTTTTCTTATTTTAGTTTGCTCACGAGTTCGAGGACTAGCCAAGTGACTCCCGTAGTATTTGTACCTTGAATTATTGCCTAACCCTAACCTGATACACATAATACGTTCTGGTGTTCGCCATCTTGGTTCACATACTACGGAAGTACCAATTATATTACAGTTGTAGTAGATATTATCGTTGACCCAATGTAAGGAATAGGCTACATGAATTCTTAAGCTTAATCTAACATTATATTGTGGGTTACGTAAACCTATGATTTCAATTTCATTCCTAATATATATGTGTTTTTCACAGCTTCGCGCAGCCATGCGTACGACACCAATTATTGAACACAAAATGGGCCTAAGTATCGTTTTGTTATTATGTTGTTGTTGATCTTCATGTTGTTAGAGTTTCTATTCTTTTACTACTTTTTGTCAAAAAATCAGTGCAGTGTATTTTGGACTCCATGTTCATATAGTTGATCATCGCTCTCTTGTTTTGTGAAGGATTGGATATTTACACTCCGCGTGAAATCAGTGATCAGAGTGTATCAGTGTCTCTGACTTGTTTCGATTCTCTAATCGACGATCAAGAATTTGGTACTCGCGTAGTATGTGTACCGGGTCAGGGTTAGACCATAATTTTATTCCAATTTTCCTTATTTTAGTTCTATTACGAGTTTGGGGACTGTCTGTGTTAGCCAAATGAATATACCCCCTGCCCATAGGTTTCAGTCCTTTCACACAACTTGATGTAAAGTGGGCGAACAAAACTAGTTACCTCTATATTGGTACACACACTTTTAAAGCGCCGAGAATCGGCTCACGAATCCTTTAATATTATTGGAAAAGCAAAAAAAAAATGATCTCACTAATCCCAGTCGTATTCGACAACTTCTCTCAGCAAATGTGTCGTCAAATCTCGAGCAAAGAATTTTTCTGGAGCAGAAACTTGTAAAGTAATAACAGTAGAAAATGTTTCCCATCCCCAGTCTGGAGTTCTCGCTTCCATTAAACGTTTTACGATTTCCTTCACTGCGGGCTCAACTTGCTCATTCTGCTCCGTGTCGCCTTGAATAGAATATATATCACAATAATAGTCACAATTTTGCGACGATTCTTAGATAGAAGTAGAAATTTCTATGCCAGATCTAGGTGTTTTAAAACTTCAAATAAACATGGTATATCAAGAAAAATATCCTTCAATATAAAAGCTGAAAGGTCGTCGTGTTTCTGCATTTTGAGAGACACAGTTAAGATAAAATAATCAGGGAAAGATCAAATGTCGTTGGGGAGGTCTAATATATTTATGGAATATGGTTGGATCAGGTGATATTTGTTTAAAGCAATGTCACAAAAACTCACTCAGAAGCAAAGGAGACTCATTTCTGAGCGAAGTTACGGGAGATCACTCAAATGCTAAGAGCTATCGACACTATAGAGCAATGATTTTCAAATTTTTTGAGCAGTGCCCCCTTTATTAGAATTTGTCAAGTCTTGCGCCTACCTCAAAAATAACTAGCTAACAATAATCTACAAATAACAGATAGTAATACGAAAGTATGTGTTATTCAAAATACACGTTGGAAATGCGTGTACATAAAAAAAGAAACGTAAACAATAAAGAAATGTAAATTTCCATAATAAGGCAGGAAAAATCAAATTTGACAAACATTTTTATTTTTAATTAGCCTCACACCCCTCAAAAAATTGTCTACACCCCCCTTGTGAGGAGGCCCCACTTTTTGAGAACCACTGCTATAACGTGTTACAAAGATGAATTACGCATTGAAAATATTGATTAAAACTTTTTATAGTTATTTAAAAATACTTCTAACACCTACCACAAACTCTGAATGCAGATATTTCATTCATCAACTCTGATGCAAAGATGCACATGCAAATAAAGAAATATGCAGCCTTCATCGTATCGGGTTTTCAGTCCTCATAAGACAAGCTTTCAAGATCTAATAGTTTTAAATTTAATTTAGAATTTTTTGCCCCTGTCTCGAGACGCAGTGGTCATGGTTAATTACCAACTTATGTTTATTATGCAATTCAAGAGTCCTGCTGCACACTAACACAAATGTATTTCTGTAACGTTTCGTCTGCCATAATCAGATGACTGTTGTAAACTGCTTGTCTGATGGAGGAAGTCTGATTTTGGTTAGATGAACCGTTACAGAAATATATTTGTGTTAGTGCGCAGCAGGACTTTTGAATTGCATAGTATGGTCTGTTCATTCAGGCCAAAATTTTAGGTATGAATACTACGGGAGGCTCTTGGCTAGTCTTCGAACCGATAATAGGACTAAAATAAGGAAAATTGGGAAAAAATTATCGCCTAACCCTAACCTGTTACCCATGTTACGTTCCGATGTCCGCCATCTTGGTTCGCATACTTCGGGAGCACCTAAAGTGAAGTAAAGAATTAAAACGAATAACACTGAAATAATGTTGAAAAGGCAAATTGATAGCAAAGAAAGAAATATTTTTTGCAACAAAATTCTTCACTTTCACAACTTCTTAATTAGTTTTGTTGGGAACTAATTGCCACCTACGGTTCAAGTGGATATCTTCTTACTAAGACCTAGTGATGCAGGAACAACCATAAAGAATGCACAAATCTCACATTATTTTTCAATGCTGAAAAACAAGTTAACTTTGTCTCACTGAATTAGCGAACAATCACAAGCCGGAACGTTAACCATTGTTATGATTATTTATAGTGAAAACTCGTACAGATTAACATTAAAATAATGTTGCAAAAGCAATTCGTTATCAACGAAATAAATTGAGTGAACTAGAATCAAATATTTAATGCAACGACTTTCTTTATCTTACCGATTGATCAATTAGTTTTTAAATTCAAGTCAAGAGCTAATTGCCACTTATGGTACAAAAGCATATCTTCTTACTGAACGTCGATTGCGAATGCAAACAATTTGACAACAAAGAAACAAATTGAGTCTCGATTCAAAAGCCAGAATTAAAAAGTTACGTCAACGGGCTGTTCCGTCTTCACGGATGATTTAATATTTTTGCAAAAAAAAGTAGATATCATTTCACTGAACGCCAACGTATGAGCAAGCCTACAGAAATACACACAACTCTTACATTTTTTTCCAAAGCTATGAAACAAAAGGAACTCTATTTCAACATCAAATATCTTTATCTATGCATAATAATAAGTTTCGTAGTTTAGTCACACACCAATATACCAATACAAGAGTTTTAGGGGACACTCTATACATATAACAAATAGTTACACTCCCACTTTCCATTAATTTCATTTGTCAATCTTTTAAGTTTTCAAGTTCATGAGCGTTTATTGTATCAGATCGGGCTCGCATCCAAATTAGAAGCCCGTTTCAGCAATTGGTATTATTCTGCGTAATCAAATACGCTTTCAGCAAGTTACTAATGCAAGAGTTTCAAGTCAATAGGGAAACTGTTGAAACCTTAAAATAATTTTATTGTATTTGATAATATTACAAAAAATACGTGGTCTTTTTGCCGGAATCTCGTTATAGTTTCAAACAATGTTTAGTAAAGTATTAATAAAACATTCAAAGTGTTTAGAAATAAAAAATATGCATTTTACTTATTTTCTCAAAACAGCTTTTTCAAGTTTTGCCCCTTTAATTCAAAGCCCCTGAATGGTCAAATTGGATATTCGAAATCTAATATACTTTTCTCCAGAACTTTAAATTACCATAACGAAATAACACACTATCTTCAAACTGATATAAAACCACAACAAAAGAATAGCACAGCAAACTGTAGGCTCAGCAAAACGTTTCTAGCAAAATTAAACGCCCCAGGGTTATCTTGATATACTACTATCAAAAATTTCAGAACTTTAAAATTTTTAAAGTAATTTGATAATTGTTTTGTCTCTATAGATATATCCGGTCCTTGGATAAGCTATATCACCCTCACTGGGGTTATATATAGCTTACAATCGGCCGAAGATAATATAAAGTTGGGTTAAAGTGAAAAAAAAATCTCCTTTTTTTGTTTACGTAATTTTTATAAATTATTCTTAATATTTGATATTTTATAACAAATTTTAAGATAAAATTTTTTCTGAAAAAGTTTTTATTATCAAGATCTTTTTAGACCAAAATTGAACCGAGATTTATTATGAGGTTTTGTGTATTGTGGGTTGGTGTCAGAAAATATAATGAAATTATAAGGAAAATAATGTTTTTATCGATTCTTCATGTCTGATAGGAGTTAAGCAGTAGAAAAGTAAAAAAGAGATGAAAAACTTATTTATAAATTTAATTTTAGGCTTCGCTTGATACGGCTTTAAATGTGATCACTTTTTGTAGTCTATATAATATCAAAAATTGTGGTGAAACACGTGACGCCATCAAAAATTAATTTCAATAACAAAAAAAGTAAATTTTCACCCTCCTGCCTTATTTTTTGATAATTCTCGTTTTTGTTTAAAAGAGATTCAAAGATATTGAAGAACAAAAAGTTGTTTTGTAATTTTACAAAGTATTGAGTAAACATTTGTTTTCTACAGTTTTGCTTTCAAAACAACGTTCTAAAATAAATTAACATAAGTAAAACGCTGTAAAATTACAAAACAAGTTTTTGTTCTTTAAAATATTCAAACCTATTAAAGGTTGAGAATTAGGAAAATAAAGCGGGCGGGTGACGATTTCCTTCCTCAATATTGAAATTAATTTTCTGACGTCACGCGTACTTTTTCATATAAAACTTCATTAATATTGTTCAGGGTTGTTATGTGATACAAGTAAAAATTCATTATTTACGATAATTTTGTGATCTTGATCACATACAGTTATATCCTCATCAAAACCTATCCCTACAAAAAAAAGACATAAACTTGGAGCTGAATCAGTAACAAAAATATACAGAAAATATGCAAAAATATTCTATATATCAGAAATTGCGCATATTTGTATTCGTGATATGTAAAACGATTCAGATGTGAGCTATATGATTACTCCTCTTATTGAAGAAAGCGATATTAAAATACTGCGGTCAGGTTAGCGGCAATCGCAGCTTCGCAGCCGAACGTGGATCTTTGTTCTGTAGCTCTGGCTCCGTGAATTAAAGTGGCTACAGCATTTTTTGGGTATTCCCGTAGTGTGTGTACCAGTTTAGGTTTATGCTATAATTTTACTACAATTTTCCTCATTTCAGTTCTATTATGAGTTCGAAAACTAGTTATGTTGGCCCATACGTTTCAGTCCCTTCAAACAACTTTATGTAAAGTAGACGAACAAAATTAGTTACCTCCATATTGGTACACATACTTCTGGAGCGCCGTTTTTTTTGTTAGAACAGTGGGATTCAATGGAAGTCAGGGGCATAACATCTAGCAGATATGTGTCGAGAACGGAGAAAATAGGTCCGCATTAAGTTGATTCAAATCTGTCATAACAAACTTTTTCTTATCATATTCATCAAGTTCTTTTCAATTTGTCGTTATCTGAATTATGGCATCATTCATAATTTATTTGGCCTTGCATCATAAGAGTTTTTATAGCAACTGATATTAGAGTAAATGTTGCGCTCTGAGTAGGTTTGAGTTTGACAGAAAGGATGCTAAATGACTCTTTCAATGCTAGGGGTTTCCGACCCGTAGATTCGACGCAATATCCAAAGAAAATATATTTTTCCGTAGACATACTGCTTGGTCAATCTTTTTAATCTCTTAAATTAAATAAGAAAATTTCGCGTCTATCCAAACACCAAGAAATATTTGTTTAGCCTGTAGATCAGGTATTTTGTTGGTATTATAAAACTAAAATTACCTGACATGCTAAGCAAACTAATGGAACCCCATGTCCTTTTTCTTTGGTTCTCAGATGGCCATCAACGGTCGTATTGTTACCACCCAGTCATATGCCAAAAACCTTTGATTCGCTCATCTCATTTTGCTGTTCACGCCAATACGTCTAACATAAAAAATATTTTTTATTTATGCAAATGACTTTTCCTATCAGACCATTCCATATACATTGTTGTATTTAATCTTAGTTTGAAAATTCAAATAACGAAATCTCAATTTATAGTTGCAGCATTAGATATTTCATACCATGAATGCATTAATAGCAATAAATATTTGCTTCTTTTTCCTATTGACTTTACATATCACTGATGTCGATGGAAATAAGGTTTGTGGTAAGTATTGATACTTTTTTTTATCGAATACCCTTTAAGCCAGTTACCAATCTTTTTGTTCGTGCGGCGCCAAATTATCAGGACAAAAAAATTTACGGAGCACTGCAGTAGAATGGTAAAATGAATTTATTCATTCATATAAACATTTAAAATAGAAAACAATGAAACATTTACAATGAATACAATATGTGAAATATTCAATCATATTTTAGGTAGGTTTAACACAATTGTAGTAATTTTTGCGGCGCACTTAGCAACTCGTACCGGTACACTAATGCACTGCGTCGAACCCTTTTAGCAAACGATTAAAGACCCCTGGTATATCGAAAGAAAGAGATATTATTGGTATTTGAACTGGATCTTTCTGTATTAACGTATTGCATTGATGAAGTGTTATACTGCACTGTATATAATTATATGAATATTCGCAAAGTAAGTTCCAAACGACTCGCTAAGGAACTCAAAATTTTCTTAGTACTGTTCAGGGTTGTTATGTGATGCAAATTATGTAACATTTTCATTTAATTTTATTGAATTAGAGTATTTACCATCTTGTACGATAATTTTGTGACCTTGATCACTTACAATTATATCCTCATTAAAAAATATCCCTACAAGAGAGAGAGACATAAACTTGAAGCTGGATTAGTAACATAAACAAACGCTGCGAACATGTAAAAATTTATCGGAAATTTAAAGAAAGGAAACATACCTTACTCCAGGAGTAAGCAGCAAATGATAAGTGAGGTGTAAAGAGTTACCATCAGATAAACTGACCTCATGAACTGTAATTCAGGGAAACGGATCATCGCTGTTAGCACCGTGAATTAATTGCATTGCAACGTTATATAAAATTGCATGATAATTCACTCTAAGCAAGGCTTCCACAATCGATGTCGACAAAAGTCTCTCATAGTTTAAATTGCAATGGTGTAATAAATTGTGTATAATTAATAGTACGCAATGGAAAATCAGCCAGTTCAATAATTCTTTAATAACAAATTTATTTTTCAATTTATAGACAAGGGCAAGAGGTATCTCTAAGAAATTAATGAAAAACAAGTAATAATGCCCTTCTAGTGATTTATTCCACTTTAGGTACTAAAAATTTGACAATTTTGAAACATTTAAATTGATGTACAAAGATGTGTGAAGCGCTATAATGCACACTTTAAGATGCATCATTAGATAGCGACTGACGTAATACTTCAACAATCCATGCGCTCAGCGAAAAACAGATCAAGTTTCATCAACTTGTTTTTCTCAATATTTGAATCCTTATAGCGTATTTCATTACACAGGATTACACCAATTGTTGAAAATGGGCTTCGAACCCGATCAGATACAATAAACGATAATCCCGTAGTATGTGAACCAAGATGGCGAACACCGGAACGTAGTATGTGTGCCAGGTTGGGCCATAATTGTATGTACAAATACTACGGGAGTCACTTGTCCAGTCCCTGAACTCGTAATAAAACAAAAATAGAGAAAACTGGAATAAAATGATGGCCTAGCCCTCGCCTAGTACACATACTACGTTCCGGTGTCCACCATCTTGGTTCACATACTACGGGAGAACCCAATAAACTCTTATAAACTTGAAAGATAGACAAATGCAACCGATGAAAAGCTCTCCTAATCTTTTGTTGGGATCTGTTATACACATTTTCTTATCTATCTGTTTCTACTATCAAAGTCCCAATGACTCACTACGGTTGTGAACAAAACTTCGTACTTACTCAGCCATGAGTCACGAGCAAAGTCGCAAGAGGTCGCGTAGAATCAAAGATTTGCGATTGACTTCCACATGAGTAAAATTACAAGCGACTATTGGTGTTTACGCAAGATCTGAATAATTCATCAGCTCCATGAAAAACAGATCAAGTTCCATCAACTTATTTGCCTCAATATTTGAAACCCGAGAAGGCATTTCCTGACGATGAGTAGTAACGATTGCTGCTGAATATAAGGCTTTTATTTGGGTTCGATCGCAGCCTGATACTTTAAATTCCTACACGCTTTAAGATTTAATAGAACAGCGTTTACATTCTTTATGGCTATCCGACCAAAAATACAATCACGCCAAATGAGTTTTAAATTGCTTGTCAGTCTAATTCAAACTGAAGTATTAATTTTTAACTTCGATTGGGGACTAAAAATAGTCAACTTTTTTTTATTCGCGTTCTATACGTTTCTCACTGCGACCAATGTGGCTTTGTAAATGTATCATTTTCCTCGCAAAGAGCTATTGTATTTAAAAAACTGGATTTTTTATAGTTTTGCATTGATTTTCCATTTCCTTACGTCCTGAGTAAGGTGTGGCGTGTGGTTTGAGATTTTTGAAGATTTTTACCGAATTCGAGAGTTTTGTCCTGCAATCGCAAACTGGTCCAGTGATTTGTCCACTGGTCAAACTGTATCTTTTATTTAGAAGACAACATGTCCAAGGCCGAGATTGACAAGAGTGTGAATGAAATCGTCAAGCGATTGATGTCAGTACGTTCCCCTTCATGGGGTTGGGAAATGTGGTCCACAATAATCGTCCTCCAAGTCGCAGCCCCTCGGAAGTTTTTTGAACGACAGAAAAGTGTTGCTGCTTTCAAAAGATTAATCAGAACGGGATGGGATGAGTGAGTACTGAGTTAGATAGCAGTGTAGCAGGTCGAACTGCTCATGATTGTGTATCTGGAGTTGAGTAAAAATATTGTTTCCTTCCTATATTTGCTGCTTAAACTTAGCAATAAGGTGTCGCTGACCGGATGACGGACTAAGTCTTTCGCGACCCCTCATCAATCGCGCTAGATTCAATGTTTTCCATTCTATGTTATTTTTATGTATGTTTATTGTTTTGCATTGGTCTTGCACAATAAAAGTAAATATCTAAATCTGACTCTATACATGAACGTTACGAGCAAGCACAGTTTTATTTGCTATCCTTGTTACTCGATTACATTACGGTTTAATAAAAGGCCACTTATTACTCAATACACTTTTGCGCGTAGCTTGGAAATAAATGTCGATTTTATTACCACTTTATTGTGTACTTCCGTAGTATATGTACCAAGTTAGGCTATAATTTTATTCCGATTTTCCTTATTTTAGTTCCATTACAAGTTCGGGGACTGTCTGTGTTAGCCAAGTGAGAATACCCCCTGCCTATAAGTTTCAGTCCCTTTATACAACTTGATATGAAGTAGGAGAAGAAAATTAGTTACTTACATATTGGTAAACACACTTCTGGAGCGCCCTTTGATAATTTAAAAAACAAACTTGTTACACTTTAAATATTTTTTTTTATTTTGAAAAAGGAGCCACCAATTTTCCTTATGATGCCCGAAATTTGCAAGGTGGGGTGTAAGGTTTTAAGGAACGACGTTTGCTAAGCGATTCCATTTTTGAGGCATTCCTTTCATATTAAATGTTATTTCTTCCTACTCTATATGAATCACCACTAATTACTTTCCGTATTTAGAATGGAGTTCCTCGATAAATGCGAGGCGGCCTTTGTGGTCAGAGCTCTTTGTATCCACCCAGATATCAGTTCTGGAAAAGGGAGGAATATGCTTAATGACATTCATGACGGGCTTGGTCGATACATACAAAATACAGGTGAAGTATAGTTCACAATTTTACCGCTCACACTGGTTCTGATTGTCCAGAATGTCATGCTGGCATCACACTTGTTTTATTCGTCCTATACTTGTCCTTCCCCACGCTTATTCAGGTAGTCACACAACTGTAATGCATGTCCTAAACTTTCGGCGCTCCCGTAGTATGTGAACCAAGATGGCGGACACCGGAACGTGTAAGTGTACCAAGTTAGGGTTGGGACGTAATTTTATTCCAATTTTCCCTACTTTAGTTCTATTGAAAGTTCGGGGACTACCCATGTGACTCCCGTAGTATTTGTACCTGTAATTATGACTTAACCCTAACCTGGTACACATACTACGTTCTGATGTCCGCCATATTGGTTCACATACTACATGAGTACCAAACTTCGTTGAATCAAACTTGTTTTTCTTGTCTCACAACTTCCCTGACTGTCTGCTATTTAACACCCATAATTATTTATTTTGGGATCTGTTTACACATTTTCAAAAACTATCGTTAGTATATAGTGGATGCCATAGTTTCGGGTAGTGTTGAGTGGAAGTCACTTGACCCCCAAGTCTATTCAGTCTTTGGGTTGAATCAAGTAACCAGAATGAGGGATTAGTATAATGTCACAATATGATGTTGTAAACAAGCTTTCAACAACGAGATACATTACCAACATTAGAGAGCCGTAGAAAAGAGAATGCGGCAATCGCTTGTCTTACTTAATAAATGCACCGGGCAAAACGTCGAATAACTTAACGCAGCAACAATAGCAAAAAAGCATTTTTATCCATGCGAGCGCCTTTTTAAACAGAAACTGTCGGATTAGGATGTTAAGCTTGATGGGGAAAATATACTGTTGACAAGGGCCACACTGAATGGCTTCGAGGGCTGGTTTGTTGCCCGCGGGCGCCTGTTGCACACTCTTGATTTTGATGACTTGGGTCACATCGATTCTCAAAAAATGAAGACTTGAGTCCAACTCGATTACTGAAACTTATGGAAACTTACAATGATCTGAAATAAGTGAACATTTTTCAGGTCCAATTTCTCCAGATGAATTGATAAACTTTAGTTTTGGAATTGGAGCGCTCTGCATCAACGACTATTCGATTGATAGATTCCTGGTCAACAAATTATTGGACATGCAGCATCCAGATGGCAGTTTTGGCGTTGGATCAGAAGCCTATCGTAAGTTGTTTGCTCAGCTGGAGTCTGTCATTTTTGAAACCGGTGTCGGAATCAAAATGATAGTCAACCCGGGACCAAAAAAGGTTTTGTTAACCAGGGGTTTTCGATCGCGCGAAAGTATTATTTTGCATATAATTTATATATGAATGTAATCAATGATTTATGATTCGCAAATTCTTTTATGTTCTGTGGATGATACCTCTCACTTACTCACTTAAAAGATAAATCTAGGAACCAGCTACTCGAACCAAAAACTTTAAATTTTCGAAAGTTGACTTCCTCATTCCCAGATTCAGAGGGTGAATTGGGGTCAAAGTTCATTTTAGGCAATAAGTCATTGGGTTGATTTTAATATCTCGTGACTACGAACAGCACACCCACCGACAGAAGACCAGTGCACATTCCGAGTACAAGTACCTTTGCTTGCACTACTCTAAATATCCGTGATTATTTTTGTATATCCATGAATTGTCGCTCTTTAGATATAACAGTGTGTCCATAAAGCCGCTTTATAATTTCAAATTGTTATGAAGTCAGTTCTCCATATATTTTAACCAGGTTTGTTTTGTTTTAATCAATAATTGTTCCAGTATTTCCACTTCATTTAATACACCAGTGAAGACCAAAAAAAAAAATTATGGTATCGATAAATTCCCTTTGCAATTTAAAATAAATCTGAGACATTAAGGACACCCTATATAGTTCACAATTGGGTATATTAGTGAAATTACATTTGCGTTAATGCTAACACATTTTCCTTGCTTATTTTTGCAAGGTACTACGTTATGGTTGCTACGTCCATTGTTTTGTTTAAGTCGGATAAGCTTTCCACATTTCAACGTAACAAGAGTCCAAGAATCCGTGAAAAAACTCCGGTCTTATGTTCTGAATTTGCTGAACAACCCAATCAAATATCCTGAAATTAAAGCTTTTGATTTCTTTGCTCATGATGCCCTTGTAGCATTGTGGAAATCGAGGCCAGATAACGAGAATTCTTCGAGGTGGTATTGCAAGTAAGTAACGTTACTCAAGCCAATGAAATTTGGATATTTTTCAATTTATATATTATATATCATTAATCGACGTGGTGAATCGTAGTTCACCTGATTACTTCATAATTATCGTTGAGTTTCAAGTGTTTTGGTGCATGATCGAGTTTAAGTTGAGTCATTTCGTTTAGATGACTCGAATCAGTTCGAAACTTTGAAACAGGTGATATTTCGACTTTCAGACACTGGTAACAATCAGTGGAAATTAAAATCTTCGGAAAACCAAATGATATGTGACATGAATTGATAGAATGTTACGTTGTTGTATAAAATACAGATTTTCATAACTGTGGCAAAGATTACACTATGAGAGCGGTTTCCCATTCGCCACCTTGGCTGAAGTGGTGAGACAGGACATTGAACCCAAAACCTACCCGGTGACCTCAATATAATTATTAATATAGATACTTCATTTCTACAGCGAAGTGATGAAAGACATCAGAGTTGCCCCATCAGACAGTGATACCGAAGAAGATCTAAACAGGAAACTGCTGACATTGACTGGCACCGACTACCTGGATTTACAAGACTCGAGCTATGCGTGCCTTTCTGCGAGTGAACTAGGTATGATTACAATCCCTTCGCAGGTTCGAATCTCATGCGGGATAGTTATTAGCTAATCCCATACCCTACCGGACGAGAGGCCGTAGTTCGCCATATAATTAAGCCGTATTATCAGCTTTTATCTTCCCCGGGACAAATATTAATATGTATCCAACCACTAAAGTGCGATGTCGGGTAGATGTTCCGAAACTTCAGTCGAGCCCATCACTAGGTTGTCACACTGGTAGTCAGTTCGGTACGGAGTTATTTCATATAACAATCTAACAATCTGCCGCAGCGGTGTGGCTCATTGTGCTAAGCATTGAGAATACGGTCGCCACCGCACCTCTGATTACTCTGCGTGGGTTCGCAGGTTCGAATCCCATGCAGAGATGGTTATGTGCGAGAGGATTGCTGGACTTTTCGCCGCCGTAGGGTGATTCACGTAACCGCTGGTCGGTTACGGCTTCCTCCATCACCAAGTCCATGCTTCCGAAAACAAACAACTAACTAATCCCATACCCGACATGGAATGGTAACCGGACGAGAGGCCGTAGTTCGCCATTTGGTTGAGCCATATTGTTAAGCCTAACAACATTTTATTTGATATAATGTCAAAATATCCTGGATTACTATCTCAGGGACTGGTACATTTACCAAAAATAGTAATACTCTTAGTTCATCTGTTGAAAGTAAAAACATTTACGTTTGAAGCAACTTTTTTTCAAACAGAGAAACAGCCAAGCCAAGTAACAATTACCGTCAATCAGTTTAAGCAATTTTTTATCCTCAACTAAATTTATTTTTAGATAAAAAGCCAAGAAGATACAAGCCAACCTGCAACTATGAAATCCCAAAAACATGTGGACTTCCAGCTTGAGGTTGTGGCCAACATGAAACCTCGGATTCGAATCAAACTGCACATAATCCTCTTGTACATTAGTTAAAATCAATTTGATATGATTTTGATGCTGATTAGGCTGGTTCTTAAAAGGTGTTCAGTAGCCGTGTAAATTTAACTTTGGCTTTTCAAACCTTTTCTTGTTTTATTTGAATCTTTAGTCAAAAATGTTGGTCCTCATATTAAATTAAGTTTGAATTTTTTATACAATTTTGTGCGCTCTCGAAGTATGCGCACCAAGATGTCGCACAACCTTAACCCTAACCTGTCACACGTACCGTGTTCAGGTTGTGCGTCATCTGGGTGCACATACTACGGGAGCTCCCAACTTTGATCTGGCCTCATTGCATGCAAATAGTAAGACAAAAACATAACACATTCTATTTATAACAGTTGCAGTTTTGGCTTTCGGCATCAATAGCGTTTTATCACCTAGTGATCGATTTCATTATCTTAATAAGGCCTGATTAATCAGTGCATTTGCAAGCATCTATGATATTTGAATACATAGTGTGTCATTTCGTATCGTTCTTATATACATACGGCGATAGGTTCAGTCATACATTTCCACTCATTCGGAATAGACCGTAGCGTAGACTGTCAATTTATATCTATAATGTTGGAAAGACTAGAAATAAGTGTTTAAGCTGGAGTAGCATTGACGGTGTTTTAGTTAACTAAAGGAATAGATGGTTTTTGGCGAAGTGCAGGAATGTATCCAAGAATCCAGTAAGAGATCCTGGAATTTCTAGTTTCCGAGTTGAACCGTAACAGTTAGCGGAGTCCGTTCGGAACCAGGAAAACGTGGGTCTTGATTGTCTGAAAAGCGTTTCAAGCTCGGAATTTTCTTTTCACATTTAACAATAAAGAATGGTGCCGACTCTCAGCATCCCCCTCTGGCTACGCCCCTTGTAGAATGTAGTAGAGACTTTGGATCAATCCAAACATGTCGTTTCGAGTTCTCAACTAAAGTAAATAGATTACGATAATAGATAAGAACAAGAGAGCTATGCTCAAATATATGGACACGTAGCGCCACATAATTTTGATGACGTCATAGCAAAAAATAGTAAAAAGTAATAGCTTTCTAGAGAAAAATTCCATCTTCAACCACTGAAAATTTCAAAGCAATTGGTCTAGTAATCAAAGAGAAAAGCGTGTCAATGAACAAGAACAACAAGAACAACATAATAACAAAACGATCGTTATGTCCACTAAACGTATCCAATAAGTAAGCGCCATTGAAACGAATAACGCTGTCTGCGGATAAATTTTTGAACCGATTAGGATTAATTAAAGTCAAACCTGTTGAAGAAAGCTAGGTAAAACATTACTTTCAGTGTCAGACGATCATAGACATTCTAGCACTCAATTTCAACCAAAAGTGGATACTAATGAATGCCATATAATTGCTGATTCAGTATATTGAACAAAAGTTAGTTGTTGAAGGGAATAGATAAGACAACACTACTTTATTGGCGATTTCTAGAAAACAAACTAAAGTTGAGCCTCATGGTTATGGTTTCAAGTTGCAGTAAGTCAAAAGCCTACCTTGCGTGACAATTATTCTAAACTCTAGACAAGAGCACAAGTTCATATGTGAAATCTATGACAATAAGCGTTTAAAGTATTTTTGAGGTTTGGAAGACAGATATAATACCTTCAGATCATAGATCAGTGGATCTCAAACTTTTTAGACCGCGCTCCCGTTTTAGAATTTTTCGCGCCCTCACTTCAAAAATACCTAGATAACAGTTATCTACGAATAACAGATAGTAAGGCGGAAGTATGTTTTATTTAAAAACACGTGGATGGAACGTAAGTAATGAAATAAATGAAATTTTTTGAAATGTGAATATTCATATTATTCATAATATTCCAACAAATATTTTTATATTTAATCAGCTTCACGTCCCCTCACAAAATCGTCTCCGTCTCCCGTGTGGGGTGCGGCTCACCGTTAGAGAACCATCGTTTTAGCGATTTGTACATAGGGAATATATTTGCATATTCGTGCGCACGATAAAGATTTTTCGTGGATAATTTCAATGACAGGTATAATACATTTGGATCCCTGATCAATGACACGTAAAGTACTTTAATTTTAGAGAGTAATCTAGCAATCGACTCTTCGAAAACGCGTTCGTAGCGTTGAGAACGACTGGAACGACGGGAGCTTTGATCCAAGTCGGTAGAAATTTTGGCTAAATATGGAGGGGACTAATTTTTTTCGCCTACTCTACATCAAATTGTGTAAAAGAACTGAAACTTAGGGCAGGGGGATGGCTTGGCTAACACAGACAGAACTCGTAATAGGACTAAAATAAGGAAAATCGGGATAAAATTATGGTCTGACCCTAACCTGGTACACACACTACGGAAGTACCGAAATTTTTATCGCGTTTCATAAAAGAACTGACACAAATAGTGTCATAGCATTTTAGCAGGTAGATAAAACGAAATGAATCGACTAGGCGCCATTCATTCGAATTGGTTTGTAATTTCTTAACCTGTTATCAAACCACGAGTCAATTCTATCACATATTTGCAAAGACGGACGCCTGCGTTTGCGATTAATTAAATTCAACTTCGGACTTGAAAATAAAATCTAATCGGCTAGTTGGTTAATGATTTTTCACTGAATGAAATTACCGGTTCTGTAAAAACGGTGTTTTGAAACACGTATTCATTCGTCGTAACAAAATGTTTTTTTAATTATTTACAAGTTCATCGAATCTAGACCGAAAAGTCTTAAACTGATCCGAAAATATTGTAAACATAGTTATGGGATTTAAATATATTAAACGAATTCCTCGAAAACTTTATTGCTTGAAAACAATAAAAACTCAATTATATGCTCATTATGAACTATAAAACATTATGGAGTGTAGCAAATAGTTTCAAACAGATTTATTTCTTTTAGGCAGAGACCAGCATTGAGAGACCATCTTATCACATAAATAAAGAGAATAATTCGATGAATGACAAAGAAACCACACTTTTCCCGCCTGTATATAAATCATTGTTTAAATAGTCCCCTTTTTGTTTGAACTTGCGCTAGTTTGTTTATTTATACATATTATCTTATCATCATCCTTTTAGATTAAAGTTGACGCCATGATAATTTTTTCATATTTTTTCTTTATCTTGCTCTATATATATCCACTTGTGTCCTTTCCATATCATGCCCTGATGAAGTTTTTCTGTATAGAAATTCGAAACGTCGGCAAATTACATCGTTTTGCTAACACCGGTTGTGCTTCATTTATTATCAACAGAGACCAGCATTGTCTGTTTGTGCTGTAACTACTTCGCAGGTTTTATTTTACAGAAAATCTCGAATATTTATTTGCGTCAACTTTTATTTCTATAATCATAGCTTTTCAGTTCCAGTCTAGCTTTAAATGAACAAAAACAAAAGTGCGTATCTAGACGTGTGGTTCTTATGTTTGTGCAATGGCCTTTAATGTGGCTATGAACTGCCTCGATGCTAAAATTAGCGATAAAAAATACCTCGAAAATACCAAGAAAATAATATAAGTTTCGCGAGATAATATTTTTCGAGATTAATGTTTGTATACACCATTTACGATAAAATCTAAGCAACACGGATAGCCTGCAGACATACTTCAAGTTATGTTGCAAAACAAGTACGAGAGGGAAACTAAGACAATAATTGCCAATCCTTCAAGAATTGCCGAATTGCTTACAAGGAATTAGAAAAAAAGTTTTACAGATTGAAGTTATTGATTCGTTTAGAAACATTAGTACAGCTCTTTTAGTCTTGTTAGAGTAGGTATGTTGGATTTGAGAGTCCCCTTTATTTTCAAAATATAGGAAAGCGATAAGCCGATAAAATTTGCCCAACAAAAAAAAATGAATTCAATATAAGTAATATGTTTACTGCAAGTCTAATAAATGGGTCAGCGTGAAAATAAATTTCTGTTCTTTCCATGAAACCTTAAAAAATTATTTCTCAATAGATTTGAGCTTCCTGCCACTGTAACATTTATTTATCATATATATATTCCGCTTATTAAAAATGTTTTTGCCGATTTTTTAGTATGTAATGACTGGACCACCATTTTTACGTCATTCTGTGTATGTGTGTGTATTTGCATTATGCTAAAAATAAACCACTGAATACTAATCGGAGTAGGCGAACTTTTTTATCCCGATTTCCATGTTTGAAATTTTCAGTTAAATAGTTTGGTGTGGAAAAGCTTTCTTGAATTAAACCATCCAACCGGGGTTGAGGAAAGCCGACTTAATCATGTGGTGAACTACGACCTCTCGTCCGATTACCAGTTCATGTCGGGTATACCATTAGTTTGCCAGTTTTTTGTTTCGGATACATGAACTTGATGGTAGAGTAAGCCGTAACCGACCATCGGGAACCACCCTATGGCGGCGAAGAGTCCAGCAATCCTCTCCCCTCATCGGGATTGGAACATGCGAACATAGGCATGGCAAACATAGGTAATCAGAGGTGCAGTGGCGAGCGTATTCTTAACGCTTAGCACAAAGTGCCACACCGCCGAGCTAATTAATAGTGATGGCTCAAATCTATATTAATAATTTCAAAAATATTGTTAAGGCCCTCCACAGGCTTTTTTAGACTAGCTAATTGCAACGTGATGGACAAGCTTGTTTTGAATGTAGTTTTCGTTCTAATGTTATCCTGGACCATCCAGGAAATCCAGGCTCATAAAGTTTGTGGTGAGTATATTATATTTTATGTAGCCACAAAAAATTTGAATTATCAAGGAGTATTCCCTTGTTGGAAGTTAAAAATGCATCCACCACCTTTATTCTTACCCATAAAGGAATTCCTTCGCAGACGAGAATTTCGTCATTCTCGGGGCGGAGCGGGGGATTTCGCCTTGCATTGGCTGTATTTGTAGTAATATTTATCGTTCTTTATTAATATTATGATACTTTTATGAACGCATTATATACTGTACAAAAGATACTTGCGCATAACATTATCTGTACACAGAACTAATCATATTCCAATATTTTACGAAAAAATCCTCACATATTAACATGTATATATAACAGTGGCTACTTAATTAGAGCTCCCTTTGGAGTTATGTTAAGGTAAACCTTATTGAAACTTACCGCGTTTTACAGACGACCATACACCAAAAGCCGAGGTCGATGAAAGCGTGGAAGAAATTGTCAAACGTCTCATGTCCGTTCGTAACCCATCTTGGGGCTGGGAATTCTGGTCAACAGCAATTGTTCTGCAAGTTTCTGCACCAAAGATGTTTTTCGCTCGACAGAAAAGTGTGTTTGCTTTTAAACGGCTGATTAGCTCTGGCTGGGATGAGTGAGTATATATTTGGCTGGTCTTGTAACAGTGGTTCTCAGCCTTTATTCTCTCGCGTTACCCAATGGCAAATTTCAACGGTTGTAAACTTTTTCACAACTTTCCTCAAAAGCAGGGGGCGCGCAAAATGCTTGGCACATTGCGAGCTATAATTTGCCCATTTCTTGGGTAGATATTTTATTAGCAATTAACAGTATAGATATTTTGAATATAGGGGCCACACAAAATGCTTAGTATATATTAAATTGGGTAGGTAATCCTGAACAAAAAATTTTCAAAAATTGGAATAACATAATCCCTTCCACGAAATAGCAAGTATGTTCGTAAGCTTTCGTTAGATCATAGTCTAACTTCTTCAGACAAAACAATACAGTTACCCCCTATACTAGTAACCAATATATTGGAATTTCTAAAAATAGAAGGTAATTTCTTACATATCATAGTGTGTTGGTGGATGCTCCACAGTAGTATGTGTACCAATATGTAGGTAACTAATTTTGTTCGCCTACTTTACATCAAGTTGTGTAAAGGAACTGATTACTATGGGTAGGGGGTACATTCACTTGCATAACACAGACAGTCCCCGAACTCGTAATAGAACTAAAATCTAGTAAATCGGAATAAAATTATGGCGTAGCCCTAATCTGGAACACGTACTACGGGAGTACCGGTTGGTGTATAAAAAATTATAAGTACAAGTATATAGTAAATATATTTTATTTCACAGACTTGAATTCTTTGACAAGTGTGAGGCAGCTTTTGTGGCTCGTGCTTTATGTTTGAATCCGACCAAATTGTCTGGAAGAAATCTGCTGAATGAGATCAACGACAAACTAGGAGAATATGTGAACAACACAAGTTCGTATTATTTTAGTATAAAACTGCCTAATTTCTTTAACTTTAAGCATGAGATTTTTTTTTATCTGACAGGTACACCGACAGTGAACATCAAATAAGAGCTCATAGTCCAATTGTGTTTGAGGAATGAAACTCTTTTAGTGAACGTTAAACGTTACTACTTTTTTTCAATGAGGAACGTTATGAAACTATTCGCCCAATAGTAGAGAGATCAGTTTTTGTCTCAACAACACGACTTAGCATAAACTTGACAACTTTAAGTCTAATGAAAAGTTAATACTTCCGAGGTATGTGAATCAAGATGGCGGACACTGGAACGTAGTCTTAGTACCAGGTCCGGGTTAGACCATAATTTCAGGTACAAATACTACGGGAGTCACTTGGCTAGTCCCGGAACTCAAAAAAGAATTAAAATAGGGGAAAATGGAACTATAAATATCTCATATTCTTTTTTTGAAGCATCGATATCACCAGAAGACTTGATAGAATTCAACTTTGGTCTCAGTTCTCTTTGTATCAACGGTTATCCGGTTGATAAGAATCTTGTTCATAAACTATTGGAAATGCAAAATCCTGACGGCAGTTTTAGTGAAGGACCGTTTTCATCTCGTAAGTAATTGATTTTTAAATGAGGAAATCGATTTGATTCATTAACGAATCATTTATTAGGTGGGTACTATAGGATATTGAACTGTAAGTTCTTTCTCCTTGTTAACTTCCTACTTCGGATCTGTATGTGTCCACAAGGGTGCTCGAACGAGATTATAAAGATGAATAAGTATAACACAATCTCTTTCCATGAAATAGCAAGTACATTAGTGAGCTTCGTTAGATCATAGTCTAACTTCTCCAGACAAAATATTTAACTTAGTCAAACTTATTCAATGATAACGCTTAGGTACTCCCGTAGTATGTAAACCAAGATGGCGGACAAAGGAACGTAGTATATGTACCAGGTTAGAGTTAGGCCATAATTTACAAATACTACGAGAGTCCCTTGGCTAGTCCTCAAACTCGTAATATATTTAAAGTAGGAAAAGTTGGAATAAAATTATGGCCTAACCCTAACCTAGTACACATACTACGTTCCAGTGTCCGCCCTCTTGGTTCATAAACTTTGGGAGTACCGGTAAGCTTCGTTAGAACATAGTCTACTCTAACTAACCGGGGTGTCAAACTCGCGTCTTCGGAGAATTTTCAATGTGGCCCCCAAACGCTTGACAATAGTTGTAATATTTTTTATTTTTTTTTTATTTATCTGAATGTAATGTATTTAAGAAAATAACAAAACTTCTTTCGGCTGTTCGATTACATCACAATTATAACACAAACTAGATCTATCTACAACCAAAATACATCAAAAACTGGGACCTTCTGAAGTATGCGCACCAAGATGTCGCACAACCTGAATTAGGGTTGTGTACCAGGCTAGAGTTCAGGTTATGCGACATCTTGGTGCGCATACTTCAGGAGTACCAAAAACTGTTTGCGGCCCTTGGCACAATTTTCAAAATACAATATGGTCTTCGAAAACCCACGAGTTCGAGCTATTAGCTCCTCTAAATTATTCCATCTTAAATGAGGGTTGCTGTCGTGGAAATCGAATTAGATATCTGTACCCATTATAAAACGTTTGTGTTAATTATTAGGAGTAAATTAAAATGCGTGTCTTTAATATTCCTATATTTTATCGGGTATAATTGACACGACAAACTTTTCCATCAACTTCTATTTTTAAAAACTATTAAAAGCAAATCTCCAATTTCAAAATGTAGCAGCCTTTGTTAAATTTTTACTTAAAGTACAACTATGAAAAACGCCTTATTCTCATTACAGTTGCCACTATTTGGGTTATGCGACCGATATTTTGTCTAAGTCGTATGAAGAATACAGCATTCAACCAAACAGCCGTTAAGGAATCAGTCAAGAAAATTCGGAACTATGTCATAAATTCTATAACTAACATAACGGGACAACTAACTTTTGGTGGATATGATTTCATTGTTCACGATGCTCTCGTTTCACTCTATAAATCGATGCCAGAAAATGAGAACGTATCAAAATGGTATTGCAAGTGAGTAATATAACAAGTCGGTACTACCAAAGTATGCGAACCAAGATGACGGACACCGGAACGTAGTATAAGTACCAGGTTAGGGTAAGGCCATAATTTTAGATACGAGAGTCACTTGGCTAGTCCCCGAACTCGTAATAGAACTAAAATCAGGAAACTTGGAATAAAATTATGGCTTAACCCTAACCTGGTACACATACTACTTTCCGGCGTCGGCCATCTTGGTTAACATACTTCGGGAGTACCAATAAGTCCATATTTAGAATTTGCTTCTAGTTTAGATCATGTATATGTATTTGAATCTAATAAATCACCAACTAACTCCATATCCTTAATTCCCTAATAACTATTATTTTCTGCTTATTTACATTAATCGGTACTTCAGAAGTATGTGAACCAAGATGGCGGACACGGGAACGTAGTATGTTTACCAGGTTAGAGTTAAGCCATAATTTTATTCCATTTTTCCTTATTTTAGTTCTATTACGAGTTCGGGGACTAGCCAAGAGACTCCCGTAGTATTTGCATCTGAAATTGCGGCCTATCTGTACGTACACATACTACGTTCCGGACCGGTGTCCGCCATCTTGGTTCAAATACTTCGGTACCAGTACCCATTTTGCCACTTTGCCATTTCCCATCGTAATGTTTCATTCGGTTAAACGGGATCCTCAGCTGAATGATCCGGGTTCAAGCCTGTAACTTTCAGATTGTAATAACAACTTTCGCTCATTATTTATTGAACAGCGAAGTAATGAAAGATGTCGGAATAAAACCATTAGACCACGAAGACGAAGAAGTATTGACTGCAAGGTTGATGACAATTACTGGAACTGATTATTTGGACTTGCAAAATGAAGATTACAAGTGTTTACCCAGAGAAGACTTAGGTATGTATCGGTCAAGTTAGGGGGGCATATAACAGTTTATTGCAGTGGTTCACAACCATTTCAGTTCACGAGTCACGACCCACTTTTGTTGCTATTTTCTGTGCTGTGAGATGTTAATATATGAGAAAAGAAACAATGTATACCCATGCAATTTATTATTAATGCAAAACTTGATCTTGCATATTGGATATTATCAGATCAAGTCTGAAAACGTGCATAATTCTTACATTGTTTCATAATTGTTACGTAATGATAATGCCACAATTTCCCATTCTTATCAAAAACTGTATGTAACATTTGGAATTTCCCACCTTAAATAGCTTCGGGACCTGGTCTTAGCTGGTCTTTCGATTTTTGAATACGGAGCTTACTCGTGTCAGAGCTTGGCAGAATTTTAACAGTTACTTATGAATCCTACTAACTAAATAGTTGTGAATCTGATTTCGGTTTAAACCAAAACGATTCGAGGTAAAATATCGCACCCTACGAGTAAAAAAATAGTAATCAGTATTTTATTTTTTTACCATCATGTAAATACACCGGAAAAAATGAAAGTAATAGCTCCTTCTTTATGTACTGTAAATCTTATGGCCTCAAAATTTCAGAAAATAGGCAACCAAAAACATTAATAGTTAACTTCGCGTTCAACAAGATAGAACTTACCACTTTTGAAAAAAAAAAGATTGGAAGTAATAGCCGCCTTTTTCGTAAGTACTGAAAATTTTTTAATCCCGAAATTACACGGAAAAGCTGCAAAAGCAAACTTGATAGTTCACTTGCGTTCATCCAGAAGTAACTTATGTAAATCCGATCAAAATGAGTGAATGTTTATGCAATCACAGGCACCCGTGACACAGGCGCAAGAATTAGGCTAAAGTTGTCACATAATATGGTGCTGATCGTATCAGGCCTCTGGCAATATTCGAAGTTTGATATATCAATAAAGATTTACAATTTATAGCATCAGGCGCAATACCAATCTGAATATTGTTAACATAAAAAAAACGGCAATTTTTGTATAAGTACCTATTCTTCGCGAGTAAGGCAATAAAATACTGAAAATTTTTGACTTGAGCTTAAATACCGCGATTATCGCCTTAATTTTCGAGTCAAAGCTATTTTATTAAAAACCTACAAAATAGCCAAAAAACACTAGATGTCGTTAAATACCCACGAGCTATAAATTGATTTATTGAGCAACCGTCGCATGTTCTTGGTTGAAAAACCATCTTTGGGAGCTTAATCAACAACAATATATGTGGACTACACTCCGTGTCCCATAATCAATTAATGGCAGATAAATAAATATATATATATATACATACTATCGATAGAATATTAATAATTAAGTTTTCAAACTTTAAGATAAACGACCAGTGGGTTACAAACCGATATGCAATTACGAGAAACCAGAAACTTGTGGACTTCCTACACCCGACGATTTTCTAGAAGAAGAAGAGGAAAGCGAAGAGGGAGGAGAGGAAAGCGGAGAGTAACTCAAAAATTGTTACTGAACTGACGGACATTTCATACTTTAATTAGTCGATACTAACACATAAATAACATAAACATTGCAAATTATACTCTGCATGATATTCGAACTTGGTGATGATTTATAAAGGGTTGCAGTATCTTAAACAAATTGTGGTGCTACTATGGTACTCCCGTAGTGTGTGTACCAGGTTAGGGTAGGCCATAATTTTATTCGGATATTCCTCATTTTAGTTCTATTATGAGTCCGGGAACTGTCTGTGTCAAATGAATACCCCCTTCATATAGGTTTCAGTGCCTCTATACCACTTAATGTAAATTAGGCGAACAAAATTTGTTACCTCCATATTGGTACACATACTTCTGGGGCGCCGCTGCTATAGCATGAGATCTACCGTTATATATCGCTATAGTCACACCCAAATTATTTATGACATTTATACATGGTGTAAGAGAGCAATAAAAGAAATATAAGAGACTAAATGACTATTACAGTAGAAACTGTCCTTACAAAATAAATTTGTTCGGAAGCTGTTTCGTAAGCAGGAAAATTCGTATGTAGGAACGCATTTTACCCTATAAATGTCCTAATACGTTTTAAACCCCCTCAAAAGTAGGACAAAATCTTTGTATAAATTATAAATAATGGTTAAAACTGGGAGTGTGGCGCGTCAGCCAATGGCGGAGCAGCTCAGGCGCGCCACTTTTGAAACGAGCTGCCCACCCGCCTGAACGGCCAGGAGCACATTTTTTTAGTTTTGGATTCCCGGTCTTTCGTATTTAGAAGCATCTTCTCGGAGCAATATTTCTACAAAAAGACGTTCTGTAACTTGGGAACTTCACATCCGGGGTCTTTTGTGTGGGTGTTTTCGCGCGCACGTGTGTGTGTGTGTGTTTGTGTGGATAGATTGGGTTCTATTGTATATACGGAGTGTAACATAAGATATTCCCTGTTAAACTAATTTATATACAAACCTCAAGCTGGGGACTTGGTTCGTAGAAAAGATTGACCGACTGGCCTGGCAGAATGAAACGCGGTGGCGCAGTATACGCCAAGTCAAATGAATTTAGGGCGCAATGTCACGTCCCAATAAAACCTATTGAAATAAAATAAAAATATATTATAATCTAGCACCTTTATAAAAAATGGCGAAATGTCCAGCCCCATAGGAACATTAAAGGTAACGAGATAGCTATGCTCAAATATAGAAACACAAGTTTAAAACGTACACGAAACTAACATAAACGTAACAGCCACAAGGTCAGTCGCCAATTTTTTGCTGACGATGATAGGACACGTGATAGGCCAAACAAAAAAGTTTTTGGAACAAATAAAAGTAATAGCCTTCTTGCCAAAAATACAAAACTCTAACCACTAGACAATTTTTAAAGCAAATTTTGTCCTGTATGCTAATGGGGAAAAGCGTTTTCTTTCCACAAGAAGAAAAATACAACAGCATGATGATCAAAAACAACAACAACAACAACAGAATAAACAAGACAATCAAAAGTCCATTACGTGTCCAATAAAAGTAGTAGACTACTAGCGAGTTTTTCATCTTGAAGTACGGTACTTAAAATTTGAAACCGATCAGTATATTGATTGTAAGGAAAAGAGCACATAAAGCACAAGAACATTAAAATCCAAATAAGATAGGATTTACATTTATTCCGGGGGGAGAGGAAGCCGGTAATACCGCATATTCATAGGGCAAACCACGGTCTCTTGTCCGGTTACCAGTCCATGTCAGGTATGGGATTAGTTAGTCTGTTATTTGTTTTCAGATGCATGGACTTGAAGCCGAAATCGACCAGCGGTTATGTGAACCACCCTACGGCGGGAAAGAGTCCAGCCATCTTTGCGCACATAATTAACCCCGCATGGGAGAACAGCAACAACAGGCCTTTGAGTCCAATAAAAATATTTGACGAGCCTATAAACCGCAGGTAATATTTTATCTAAAGGTGACGAATTACAATAATACAAACAGCAGGAGATCATGGCTCAAATATATCGAAACGAAAGTCCAATACTTAATTGCAAAACCGGTGGAACACGCTACTTATGGTGCTCGGCGGTCTGGCGAATTGAGCTAAGCGTTAGGAATACACTTGACACTGCACCTCGGACTACCCTACGTCAGTGCGCAGGTTCGTATGGCATGAAGGGTTGATTATCGGCGAGAGTATTGCCTCGCCTCCGCAAGGTGGTACACGTAACCGCTGGTCGGTCACGGCTTTCTCCATCATCAAGTCTATGTAACTGAAAACAAATGGCTTCCGGCTCTCGCTGGGATAAATATAGAAATCCTACCATATGCTTATACGGAGATGTGGGAGCCCGAGCTCACAAAATGAAATCGGTGTTCTGTCGTGATGTAGGCCGTCACGTTTGGCGGAATAGAAACAGTGTTCCCATGATTTAAAATAAAACAACAAAATATTGGGTGAAATATCGGATCTTATAGGACTGTGTCACGGACCATGTGTCACGGACCATAGTGTCTTTGTTTATGTTGTGTATATTTTTATATGCTTACGTCTTATTCAATGCTGTTTTGTCGAGTCTCAGTCTCCGGATTTATATTATAAGACTCCAACCATCTATTACACTTGCGAGAGAAAATATATTTCTTGCTCTCTACTTCGGCCGTTGTGCTGGAGGTCGGCTGCTGTTCATGTTTAAGGGTGTTGCCATATTAATGAATAGCTAATCCGGAATCGTGGATATTCAGTTTTAACTATCACAGGCAAAACCTTGTCTGTGACAATGGCGAGAACGCCAGGTTTTGGCCAAACTGTGACATATCTACATATGGTCATTTCGCATCCAATAATTAATTAATATAAAAGCGTAAAATACAAAGAAAAGACGGTTATATTCAATACTTCTACGTTTGCATGAGTCTAAATCTGATACCCAGTGGCGTGCGAACGTCTACTATTACAAACAAACAATTTGCGACTGATATCATTTCCTATTAATCATATAATTATGATTCGAATTTTAAAACTTCGTAAAACAAGCAACAATTTAACCCTGCAAAAACGATTGAAATGAGTAATTGAATATCATTTGTAAAAGTAGTAGAGCAAGAAATACATATGATCAGAAAAAAACATGGTAATCTATGAATAAATACCTAAAATCCATACTAGAGAACGATGTTCCTAGAGCAATGGACACGAAGACCAAAGTATGCAGTCTATCACAGAAGACTTTCGGTAACAGCAGTCACGATGTCATAAAAACGTGTTTCCGTAAATAAAAATAAAATAGCGGAATTTCAGCGGAAATATCAGATCTCGCAAAAATTAAGGATTAAATATTAGCAATAGCGTAGAGCGACAATAGAAATCTTTAATATCTGAAAATTTCAAAGCGATTGGTCCAGTGATTAACGAGAAAAAAGATTTTTTCACAACAGGAAGATAACAACTCCAACAGCGTAAGAGCAAAACAATACACATGCACACTAGGTGTCCAATAATATGTATGAACTACACAACGGGCAACTTGCTAATTACATACGATATTGCCGCTTGTATTGGCGTTTACAGGAAACCAAATTGAAACCAGGAAACGATTCATTCTACTTCTATGAGAGAGGGAACCTATGACGTGGCTAATCATACAGCTAACAGAAGATTTCTCTCAAACTCGGTATTAGAAATACGCTCGCCACCTCTGATTGCCCTGCGTGAATTCGCAGGTTCCAATCCCGTGGGGATAATTAAGTGCGAGAGAATTGATTGCTGGATTCCTTGCTGCTGTAGGGTGCTTTGCGGGCTCTTCTACCATCAAGTTCATTCATCTAAAGACAAATAACTGGCAAACTGATCCCATACAAGACATGTACCGATAACCGGACGAAAGGTTGTGATTTGCCATATGATTAAGTCGTCTTATCAACTTTCTTCTCACCCGGGATAAACAGGTAAATCCTAATTCAAAATACATACCTGTGTAAAATGTGAATTACTGTGATAAGTTATACAAAGCGTGTATTTCGTGTGAGATATAATACTTTTGTCAAACTAAAAACACAATCATGAACATGAAAAAAGTTTTTGACAAATACAGTTTATTTCATTCATTCCAAGTCGCATAAATGATTAGGAAACCCAGAGGTGTGCAACCTTTAATACAGGAGGGCCAATTACAGATAACTGGGTGAAATTGGGGGCCCTCATCTTCATTCATTATAGGCTTCTAGTAGCAGCAGGCACAAAAAAAATGGCGCTCCCGAAGTTTGTACACTAATATGGCGCACAACCTGAACCCTAACCTGGTACACATACCATGTTAAGGTTGTGCGCCACCTTGGTGCACATACTTCTGAAGGTCCCAAATTTTTTGTTATTGATTTTGTAAAATGTGTTGTTCGCGTTGCACAAGCTCAGCTATAAGCTTTGCAACGTGAAGGGATTGGAATTACTTGCACATACTAGATTAAATCAAATTTAAAACTCGTTTTGCGGGCCGCACACCGTTCGAAATTGGCACTTCCTAGTATGCATCACAATTTTTCCTTGTGGACCGCAAAGGCTGCACACATCTGAGCTAACCAATAGATTGCACCCGTATGTCACCATTTTCAATAGTGCTCCTATTCTGTGACGCCAAGTAATGACTCAAATGGGCCTACGATACATTATAACACACATTGTTTCAATATAAAAGAGTGTAAATAAGTCTATATAAAATAAAATACATGATGCATGTTAACTCTTCCGGGTGAGATACCTACTTCGTTGTGCGTCATAATTTTATAATGGTTGCTAGTTTTCTAGTTTCTTGCACAAGGACTTGGCTTGATGGTTCCAAAATATGATATGATGGCATTTTCTTGTATCACGGTCAAATACAATGGAGTAAAGCATTCTAATACAAACTATCTACTACTACCAACGGCTTCTTGGAGGTCAAAAATCGTCTTTATCACTTATAGTAAGTGATGGTTAGCGCAAACCAAATTTGTGGGATCTTTTGTAGCTTCCGCCTCTACTGCAAAAATTTGAGATTTGAGAAAAACACCCCCCCCCCCCCCCCGTTTTAGAATAACAAATTAGTTCTCATCCAGTTAGAGTTTGAGTTAGGAATGATTGGAAAATTTGAATTTCTAGCGCAATAGCCATTTCTAACTCTAACTCCAATTGGATAATTACTAATTTTCTTATTTTGGGCGATGGCGGGGGTGTTGTGCAAAAAATCCAGATTGTGTCGGAAAAGGGTTGTATCGCACGCCACAGATGACGACTGGCGATATATTTATCGTTTCGAAAGTTAAGTATCTGATTGAAATAAAGCGTGTCATGTTGATGTAGCTTACGTAATGACATACATACTTTTTCGGCGATCCAGAAGTGTATGTATCAATATGGAAGTAGCTAATTTTGTTTGCCCATTCGACATCAAGTTGTGCAAAGGGACTGAAACCTAAGGCCATGGGGTATATTCACTTGGCTAACACAGACAATCCCCGAACCCGTAATTGAACTAATATAAGGAAAATTGGGATAAAATTATGGCCTAACCCTAACCTTGTACACACACTACGGGAGTACCATTGATTTGGCAACCCCTTGCGCTAATCGCCAAATTTTACACAAATGTTGACGCTTAGGAATTAATTTACATGTTCAAACCAATTATTTTGATTTAAAATATTTGACCAATTGCTATTGGAAAGTTCCGACGGATAATCTTAATGTAATTGGCCACCGTTACGGATGTATTCAATGGACGCAGTTACCGGTTGCTGGGCAACGAAAACATTCTGGCGTGGGCCGCGGACGTATTAAAATTGCTAATTTATTTGCGTCACTCTAGTTTAATTTTGATTGTACGGGCAATAAATGATGATGCTGCTTCTGCAACTGAGTGGTAATTTTCATTTTAATTGTTGAAGTGAAAACGTCCACGTTTTTTGCTACTTTAATGTCTTGCATAAAAAACAACAAAAATGTGCCACAAAAGAAAATGAGGCTGAGAACCACTGCACTAGATACTTCTAACTATTCAACGACTTGTCATTGGAAAGTACCGGTAGATACTCTTCACCCAATTGCCCCTGCTACGGATATAAGGACTTCATGCTTTGGGAAACAACCATTTACCCGGAAGTACCAAGTACCAAGCGACCCGTCACTACGGGGCCGATTTGCCGTCCGAATTGTAATTGTCAATCAATTGTATTTGGGATTATGAATAAATAAATGAAACTGGAATGACTTTAAATGAATGTGAGGTTCTTTCCTATACATATATGACAAAAAATTCCTTGTTGTATTTGTATGGACAATTAATATGTAAAAGTTCTGTATGTTAAATAACGTATTTTTAGTGCTTGGTGTAACACACAATAATACCAATACTCGTGGATTTTTGTTGATGTACCCGATGAAGATATCAACGAAACACGTTAAACATCAGAGGCGTATCCAGGAATGTTCAAAAAGTGGGTCCGAACAGAGGTCGGAATACGTTTGTTTTCAGAAGTCTCGAGGATCTAAAAAACGTACCGGCCACGAAAATGTCTATTGTAGTAATATTATAGCATCAACCTCCCAGATTTACCCCCGTTTGAGTTGAATATATAAAAACAAAGGTAATTTTTCCAAAATTCTAACAATAACTTCCGTAGGAGTCAAATTATAGAACATTGAGCTTTAGGAATATGTTCGCCCGGTAATTATAATTATCAAACTTTTTCTCGGGATATTTTAACACAAATTTAAAATAATCATATGCAAGTTTTCCTCATTTTTCCAAACTAATTTTTATTTCAAATTTCTTCCTCCGTTTTTTGTTTTGACCTTTTTTAATTAAAGTGGTGCTGTTTCTTAAGCCCAATTGGTTCCCAGCGGTTCCCAAAGGGTGCGCCGCGGCGCATTATAGTGCTCTGCGAAAATTGACAGAATAATTTAGATTTTTTTATTATAAATGTTCTTTTGTTCCTTATTTTAAATGTTGTGTTTATAAATCAATAAATTTCTTTTTATGTCGTTTACTTCCTGTTACGTAGTGTCTACCTCTAATGTTACGTAACAATAGATGGATAAACCACTTGGTGCAATTTCGTGAGCTGAAGTTCATATTTTTACTGAACAGAGTCTAGCGAATTTGGGTGATTTTTTCAGCATTTTGAATTAAAACCGAGCAGAGATGAGAAAGAAGAGTTGACCTTTTGCCTTTATTCCTTATGCCCATGTGTTTTAAAACTTTATAATGCATAAAGTACACATTAGCGAATTAGCGATACCAAAATTGAGTTTTATTTGAAAAACTTCATTTTTTTTTGTAAGTGAGCCGTGAGTTTTTTCCGTAATAATTTGGCGCCGCATGAACAAATGGTTTGGGAACCGCTGGCTTAAGCAAAAAAAATATAAAATTGATGAGTTGCACCCGAAGCTTGAAATACATCGAAATGTGGGAGCGCATGTTGCCGGACTTCGTTAAACAGGTGAGTATTCCATTGTCTGTATGGATAAAGACATGTATATACTAGTGAAATCACAAAATATATCTCAAAAAGATATTTAGCACATACATGCTCATTTCAAGACTTTGCTCGCTACTTTGAAGTCTGGATTTGCAGAATTTGACCCCTTTCGTCTTTGTTGAATCTAACAGTCGACAAAGTATTTCTCTGTCACACTAATCGTAAAATTCGAGTGGACTTTACACAATATTTTTTAACATTATTACCTTAACTTCCTTAATAACTTCCTGTTTTTCTTTTAAGACGCGAATAACAATGTCAGCGTCATGTTACGGTAGATCGTATATTCTATGCCCTGATTGCCATGTAGACATTTTGATGAGGACTCCTCTGTATTGGCAAACCCGAAATTATATGTCAGCAAAACTGAATGTCAAAGTAACGGTACTCCCAAAGTATGTGAAACAAGATCGAGGACACCGGAACGTAGTATGTGTACCAGGTTCGGGTTAGGCCATAATTTTATTCCAATTTTTCAAATTTCAGTTCTATTACGAGTTCGTATACTACCCATGTGACTCCCGTAGTATTTGTACCTGAAATTATGGCCTAACCCTAATTGGTTAAAATACTACGTTCCGGTGTCCGCCATCTTGATTCACATACTTCGAGAGTACCAAAATAACTTGATCATATATATACAGTTGTCATCTTTGACGTCTAACTGACTATCTCTATTCACAAGAATACTGATAACAAATAACGGTACAAACGAAAATTTAAAAGTCGATATTGGAAGGCTAATATTTGATACTAGTTTACTAGAGAACCTGGTGTTTTTTATTTGCCAAAAAATAATAGGTCTAACATTTTGGTCCATATGCCGATAACAATATTTAACAATTTGCTATTCTATTGTCCTATTTCATAATCAAAAACTCAACAAAATAAGAAGGTAAAAAAGACACTCAATAAAATGATACCTCGTTCGTGTTTTTTCATACTTTTGGTGCTTAAGTTCAATATTGTGATGCCGGTCCGCGAGGTTACTTTCTTTCATGTTACTGACCCGCCGAGGTAAAAGGTTGGAACCACTGCACTAGCTCTGGGCTGGTTATATCAATTTACCTTGTGTAAAATAATCGAAAGAATCGAAATTATGTTAATCAAAGTAAAAATGGATAACGGGCTTGCTTGTTTCTCATAAGTCGGTTCAGGAATCTATTGTACAACACCCCCACCAACGCTTGAAATAAGAAAACTAGTAATTATCCAGTTAGGGTTTGGGTTTGAGCTAGGATTGCAGATTGAGCTCGAGATCAAATTTTTAAATCTTTTCTAACCCTAACGAGATGATTAGTGCCTTTTTTATTTGAAAACATAGAGGGGTGTTTTTCCTAAATCTCACATTGCTGCATTAGTGGAGGCAGTTTTGTACAAAAGATCCTAGTTCAATAATAGTTTTATAAGCTTGCAAAGACGGCTCATTTCACATCGAATATTTTTTTATTCATTGAATTAGTGTTTGTACGTATTGTTTTCGGATATGCGGTGGTTGCGTCTCTTCTGAGTCATCTTAGTCATCGAAGAAAGTGATATGTTCGACAGGACGTGATTCTCTTTAAAGATGTGATCTCCGGAAAAACGTAATTTCCTCATGCCTTAAATTATTAGATGAAAAACATTTTTTTTCAGTTGCGCATTCCGTTTTTTTTATCGAATCATAGTTGATCATTGATGGTGAGTTGCTGACATTTGGGATCGCTGCAAACAGAAATTCCTATCGCGGGATAGTCGTTCTCTCGTCATATTTTTCTCCTTATTCTCTTTATTTTATCCATTTACTCCCTGTTGCTCGTATTAATATCTTTCTTTCTTTGTTATCTTTTGAGTAAAAAAAAAAGTTGTAGGTACACATTTCGCGACGTTCCCGCATGCTCTCTTATTCTCTTATTACACTGCAAATTAGATTACAGTTACGTTTTTTATAGCAGTATCACCGGAAACCCAACACAGCGTTTAAGAAGGCCATAAGGCTTCGAAGAATTACTTTGGGCGGTGTCAGGCTCCTGGAAGCTGAGTGTTCAGCGGAAAGTAGACTAGATTTGATGTGGTTTGTCCAGAGAGTTTTTGCGGGTTCCATTTGCTTGAAAACGAATGGTTAAATAAAAATTGAGTTTTTTGGGGTGAAAATTATTGCTACACAAAACCAACAAATTGGTGATATAAAAATGTTGTTCCCGTATTTTCCCGGTATCTCAAATTTTTTTTAAAAATTATACTAATTTCTAATATTTGTAGCGTTCAATTGATGCATATCTGTACGTTATTATTACAATCTCATCAATGCTATTTACCAGATGCGTTCGAAATATACTTATTACTTAAAAAAGTTTTTCCATTCAATGTTAAAATTGACTGAATGTATTTAGAGATTCGGCAAGTTAATAAAATTTGTTCAAAATCGAATATATCTTAGTTGATTCAACCATTTGCAGCAAAAAAATTAATAATTTATTTCACTGACTATTTTTTCCTACTTCTGATGAAAATGTTGTATAAAATGAATGTTTCAGTAATTAATTAAAAAAGTTCTAGTCCAAAGACGGAAACAAATTTTTTTCATACTTCTCTTAAAATTAATTCTGCTTTTTTACAAATTTTTCAGTGTAAATATTAACTTTTGTTAACAAGAGTAAATCGTAAAAACAAGAAAGATGAAGCCAATTATGATTGCGTTTTTGGTTGTATTGATGGCTGCTACAGGTTTGTATAATAAAAATTATATTTATTCATATTTCCCTATGTCAGGACCAGTCTTCTGCGCTTTCATGATTGTCAACTTGTTTCTAACCAGATTTTGAGCGAAGGCTGAAAAGCCTTGATGGCTGATAATGTTTTCTGTTGTTCTACCCCTGTCAGTGTCGTATCTACGTAAAATGGCGCCTGTGGCAAAGATCTAAAATACGCCCCAAAAACCCCAACCTGGTACACAGCCCGAGTTCAGGTTGTGCGCCATCTTGGTGCGCATACTTCAGGAGGTCCGAACAAAATCAGGTACTCCCGAAGTATGTGAAGCAAATGGCAGACACCGGAACGTAGTTTGTGTACCAGGTTAGAGTTAGACTATAATTTCAAATACAAATACTACAAGAGTCACTTGGCTAGTCCCCGAACTCGCAATAAAACTAAAACGAGATAGCAATCAAAGACCGCCGACTTATCAATCTAGCGGCGTGTATTCTTTGCTCTGGCACAATAGCGACACCTCGTGTCCCATCCCTAATTAATTAATAACTTGCTAATTATACGACATAATTCATCCAAAATCAATAGGTCCGTGATATGGTACACATACTACGTTCAGATGTCCGGCATCTTGGTTCACATACTTCGGGAGTACCCGAACTTAGTTACCTCCATATTTGTACACATACTTTTGGAGCGCCCAAGAACCTCTGCCTATTACAGTAACAAATCTTTTTTTCATTTTCTCATTTAGGTTATGCTATCCAGTGTTACGTGTGTAGTAACTGCGCTGATGCTAAGAAGTTGAGCGACAGTCAACTTTACAATTGTTCTTCTCTCACTGACACTTGTATTAAGGCTTCTGCACAGAGTAAGACATTCAATTTAAAAATTTAGATGTACTTTGTATGAAGGATATCCTTGAAATGTACTCATTTACTAGTTGGGCGCAAAGCGGTGTTTGTATCGCTTACTAAAGCGTTGCTAATCCGATACTTAAATCCAAATTACGCTGTTTTCTTTTACTTCATTGTGAATTTTTGTTCTGCCAAGCGTGGCAGGTAAAACTCGATTATAAGTCACATTTCGGTGTGAGTCACACCGTCACACGAGCTGGCCGTACAGTGGTTAGTTATTTAACCTCCTTGTTTTAATATGAGCATTTCTATCATGTTATAACTATACTTACTTACCTTTATAATTATGAATGTCAATGCTTGCAATCTCAACAGGTTCATTGAGCTTTTTTGTTTGGCAAAACATCAAAATTTGATTCTAGTTTGGTTGTTGTATAGCATCAAGCTTGCCAGATTGAATTGCCCACTGGGTAAATTTGGTCCGCGGCCCTGGTTTGCCCATGTCAGATAAAATATATCAGATTTGAGTGTAAACTTGCTCTTCGGCATCGATATTATATAAAATATCAAATCTTCACACTACTGAAGTGCTTTATTTAGGAAATTTATTCATGTTTTGGTAATCCCGTAGTGTTAGGGTTAGGCCATAGCTAAGTGAATATAACCCCTAACCATAGGTTTCAGTCACTTTACACAACTTGACTTAAAGTAGGCAAACAAAATTAGTTACCTCCATATTGGTACACACACTTTCGGAGCGCTCAATTTTCAATTGGAAACAATTTTCTAGGTGTTGTGACAAGAAGCTGTGGCGCAGGTGGTAATGTTGGATGCCAGAGTATTTCAGCTTTTGGTGTGACAGCGGAGACTTGTATTTGCAAAGGAGGTGAGTTTCATGGAAACCTTATCAAATATAATTTGAAAGAATTAAGATTCATGCATTAAACAATGAACAGTGATTTATAAGCTCTTTGATTCCAAAAATTAAAAAAACAAAGTGTTACCAGTGTTTAAACTTATTAATTTGTCAATAATTTGGCTCATTCAAGAGAGTAGCTTCCTACAATCGTTAAATATCAGTGTCTGGTTGTATAGGTCAGGGTTACTCAACTATTTGTACCAAAGAAAATTTTGAAATTATTTGGGTCCGGTCTTTCCAGAAATTATATTTCGGCATCCTTAAACGCGCACTTCATCGGTTGGCTAATGATTATCAGCTAATCAAGATGTTTTATTAAGGTATTATAGTTCCTTTTATATATATTCAAACCAAGTTATTTTATAAAAGGAAACTTGAAAAGTGGGGCTATGGATCCAAACTAAAGAATTAGGTGCGGTCCAAATCAAATACTCGAAAGCTCCAAATTTGTCCCGCGGCCGCCAGTTGAGTAGCCATGGTATAGGCCATAAGATTACAAGCATTCGTGTAAAAAATGAACACGAGAATATCGGTCGGACACCGAAGACGTATCGATCGGAGGTTAGGGGATCTCCCAAAACAGCGCTCCTACTCCATAGTGACACCGTTTGTCCCATCACTAATTAATTAATAACTCGCTAATTATACGACATAATTCATCGAAAATCAATAGGCTTCTGATCCGAGCTATGATGAATGCACATGCAAAATTTGGAGCAGATTCAACCTCGCTTTCGTGAGATATCGCGTACATCTAACAAACAGACATACATACAGACAAATACCTATTAACATACTTACCGATCTTAAGATCGATAAGTAATAATTGTAGCATAAGTGATTCAATAGTCTTGCTGAACAATAACGTTAGATTTCTATAACGTTTCGTCTGACTAAGGTTAGACTTCCTCAGAAATAGATATATGACTGTTTGTTAGTGCGCAGCAACAATATTGAATCACTTAGAATAGTTATTACTTATCGATTTTAATCGGTAAGTATGTTGATAGGTATTTGTCTGTCTGTATGTATGTATGTATGTCTGTTTGTCTGTTAGATGCATGCGATATCTCACGAAAGCGAGATTGAATATGCTCCAGATTTTGCAGGCGCATCATCTTATCTCGGACCAGAAGCCTATTGATTTTGGGCGAATTATGTCGAATAATTAGCGAGTTATTAATTAATTAGTGATGAGACACAAGGTGTCACTACGGAGTAAGAGCGCTGTTTTGGGGGATCCCCTAACTTTCGATCGATAAGTCTTCGGTCTCTGACCGATATTCTCGTCTTTCTCTTGCTACAGCATCCTTGCATTATATGCGTACGGATCCACCGGTGCAAAAGCATAGAAGAAGGATAAGTACTTGATCTCGTAGAAACCCAATCGATAGCGTAGCATTACTGTATAGTAATGTTAATTTTCATATTTAAACTAAGCACTGCCGCAGTTGCCACATTAGAATAAGACATAAATGAAAGATGATACCGATTGGAATTAGTATTAATGCTCGAATTTGTTCTGTTCTTGACTGACCTCCCGTTGTGGTATACGCTCCCATTTCTGGTTATTCTAGCACACTTATATTCAAGTGTAAGGAATCACTGTTTACGCATAGCTACGTCAAGCAATTGACAGGGCTGCTTGTTTAATTGGCAACAAATGGATAACAAAATTGCGCGTCGGCCTACGACCTGCCCTGACAGCTTTGAAGGTTAAAGATTGTGGGTCAAGTCCTGAACCTGCAATCTCGCCCGGGTATTATTAAATTGATTAGACAATGCCGAACCACATTTTTGTTTTCACATTGTAGCTCTTTGCGTATCAGTGTTTAGAGGCGACCGTATTTTACGGACCATAATGCGCACTTTAAACACTTCATTTCTCTCAAAAATCAATCGTGCGCCGTATAAGTCGGTGTACCTAATGTATAAATCGGGTGGGGCTTTTTGCTCTAATGCGCCTTATACGCGGATAAAACCACATTCCAAGCAAGATATTGGCAAGGCGTCTTATATCTTAGTGGTACGTAAAATACGATAGTTGAACAGAACATTCAAAAAAATGTTTTTTTTTTCAGAAAAATGCAACGGAGCTGGAACCCTCAAATCAAGCATCATACTTGGATCCGTTATCAGCCTCCTCGTTGCTAAATTTATTATTGTTTAGATGCGTTGTATAGTATATATCTTTGTGAAAAAATTAAATAGTTGATTTGAATAATGGATTGATATTATTGTTAATTTTCTTTACTATGTAATCGTTATTATGCAATTCATGAATGGAATAACATTTTGATTTTGACTTAAAAATGAGTTGTGAGTAGGGCTGGGCATTTTCGAATCGAATCGAATAGTAAATTATTCAAATCAGTTAAGACAAAAAATTTCGAATCGGTTACGACAAAAATTTTAAATTGCCACCATCTTGTTTCAAGATGAATCGTTAAATTTTCATTGTGAAGTCATATTTTTAAAATGTTGTTTTAACTTACGACTGTTTTTTTCCTCGTGAGCTATTGATGAAACATGTTTCTTATTGTATGTAAACACTCAGCGAACTGTCCGATTGTTGGATTCTATGTTTTCAGTAATATATGTGTCTCTCTGACTCATTACAATACAAAAGTCACATACAATTATGTCGTTTGAATATTACATTTAAATATCTTTTTTATTTAAGATTTAATTCAAAAAAAAAATTTGATATTTTAATTCGAATCTGAAATTATCAAGTAATCAAAAATGCTCAGCCCTAAAATGAGTCGTAATTTGTTACAATTTAACAGATTGATTCCACTGTATGACACTGCTAATACTAAACATTCGTGGGTGCCAGAAAATCGTCTTTAAACTAAATCAGAATTCGACAGTAAAACTTGTTTATAAATGCTGATTCAATTACTATTTATTGCCTACCTTACTGAGATCAATATTGCGCGCTCCAGAAGTGTACCAATATGGAGGTAACTAATTTTTTCGCCTACTTTACATCAAGTTGTGTAAAGGGACGGAAGCCTATGGGCAGGGGGGATATTCACTTGGCTAACACAGACAGTCCCCGAACTCGTAATAGAACTAAGATAGGGAAAATCGGAATGATGTTATGGCCTTATTCTAACCTGGTACGCATACTACAGGAGTACCCAATATTGTTCAAATTAAATACTTTTGCCCACCCAATTCGAAGGATTTGCTTTTTTTAGACTAAATATGTTTGATCTGTCAATGCTAATAGTCGATAAAATTGTTCAAAATTGCAATGAGAATTTATCTGTATATCACCATATATTGTTTCGGCCCTCACATATATATTAAATGAAGTGAAAACACTTAAACAATTACTGATTAAAAACAACAAACTTGGTTAAGATATATTGAGAACTGACTTCATAACAAAATTGAAATTGTAAAAAGACTCAAATCATAAATCATATTATTATTTTTCCATCTTCTTGCATTAAAAACTATAATTTAAAAACCAAACTAATTTTCACTAATTACACCAATTACAATTTTAGAAACGGTATCAGAAGTTGATAGCGGAATCTTTCTATTTACGTAAAGAACTTAAGTAATAAATCAGTATATGTCTTGTTACTACTACCCTTTTAGTCAATCAAATCAAAAATTTTCCATTAATGTCATGAAGAGAATTACAATAGCATTAGCATGGGTAAAATTTTTATATCAATGTAGAATCATTTGTCATGGTGATGACGCACTATGGTCGAGCTTTGGTGTAACCATGGCAACGAAGCCTAGAAAGGCGTCAGTTTCTGTTCTAAAGATGTCTCACTTGTTTCTTTGACTTGACTGACACTTAAGTCTGTATAATATAATAGGGTGTCGATTATTGCCTCACCGTATACCTAAAGAATTAAATATTACAACTCAGAAAATTGGTGGTGGTGATAATGACAGAGCAGTATCCGATTTATGTTCCGGATATGCGGATCTAGTATTCAATTTGTCTGATCGGTTCTCAAAACGCAGTAAACAGTTTATGAAACAAAAATTGTATTATTGATGAGGTCATATTTCATGACTGACGTATTTTATTACATTTTTAAATAAACTGTTTTCAAAAAAAAATCTGTTTCTTTTTTATGTCTTATCTTATTTATGAAAAGTGGCATATTACGAAAAAGTAGATTTGTATAATGTCGCTACTTGCTCCAATATCAGCGGTTCCCCATCGGGAAGCAGTTGGTTAGGGGTCGCAATGCTAGACGCAAAACTGATGTAACTTTTTGATTTACAAATAACATCGATGAGAAGATTCCATAAAATGTTAACGGCGCTCCTGTAGTATGTGCACCAAGATGGCGCACAACCGGAACCATAACCTGGTACATATCCTATGTTCAGGCAGTTCGCCATCTTGGTGCACATACCACGGAAGCACCAAGTTAAGATATAGGTGCAGTGATATTACTAGTGGCGGACAGCGGAATGTAGTATGTGTACCAGGTAAGGATTAGGCCATAATTTTAGGTACAAATACTACGGGAGTCACTTGGCTAGTCCCTGAACCCGTAATAGAACTAAAATAGGGAAAATGGAATAAAATCAGAGCCTACATTCCAGTGTTCGCCATCTTGGTTCCCATACTACGGTAGCGCCAAATTACCGAATTGTAATGCAATCAGCAATCGATATCAGATGGTAATATTGAATCCTCTTGCTGAAATATGAAGTATTATTTGCCATTTTGCAATGTGAGATTCATGATATTTCACACAAAGACGTCCTCGTTGAGTTGTGTTGAATTTTCACCAATTTTATCGTTTTGCCTACGCTACTTTCCAACTACGATATCTGCATATACATTACATTACGTGCAAAACTTCACAGGAAAATTTAGTCCAATGGTCTTGCATTTCAATCTCAACCTTTGAGCCAAGATTTTCGAAATTTAAAAAATAGCAAGCTAATTTTCTTTACTGGAAGGGGAATATTCGGAGGGGCATGCGCACTCACGTGGTTTTGAATTGATCACACGTTAATAGATTGTAACCGCGATCTGCTCTTCTTCGGAGATCAATAAGCAAACAATATATTGCGATGCTAAATGTATATTGTAAAGTTGCACAATCAAATTGAATTCAGATAACAGATATATTGAATAATACACTTAAACCTTAATACAGTTACGATCGAATGTAAGTAGTAGGCCAAAGTAAAAAAACATGAAAATAACAGTATGCCCGAAGTATGTGAACCAAGATGTCGGACACTGGGACGTAGTATGTGTACCAGGTTAGGGTTAAATAATAATTTTATTCCAATTTTCCTTATTTTAGTTCTATTACGATTTCGCGGACTAGCCAAGTGACTTCCGTAGTATTTATACCTGGGATTATTGGTTAATTCCAACCTGGTACACATACTACGTTACGGTGTTCGCCACCTTGGTTCACATACTACGGGAATACCCACAAATAACCTGTTTCGACATGCTATAATAAAAAGGGTTTAATAACTAAATCCATAATTACAATTCACACTCGCTACAAGGACAGTCCTTACTGTCAGACTAGTCTAACCAATTGAAAAGTATATCAGAGTTCAGAGTAAAAAACTTTATAATTTTTACGGTACTCCCGAAATATGTGAACCAAGATGGCGGACACCAGAGCGTAGTATGTGTACCAGGTTAGGGTTGGGCAATAATTTCAGGTATAAATGCTACGGGATTTACTTGACTAGTCCCCGAACTTAGAGAAAACTTGATATTTTTTTCCTTAATTGTGAAGCAGACTGTTCTCTTGTTGGTTTAAAAATATCGACACACTTTACCATAGCCACAGCTTACTCAAAGTTCATAAAGTTATAAATATTTTCTTTTCAGTTTCGATTGTTATCTATGAGCTTTTCGGGACTTTTAGAGTTAACATTTTGATGATTCTGTGTCTTCATATAGGGAAAACAGGGACTAATGTGCTTTAATAATGCACAACATGAGTAATACTCAATTTAAAAATTATAAATTATGGGTCTAAAATTCTGATGGTGAAAAAAAGGCGCTCTGGAAGTATGTGTACCAAGATGACGCACAACGTGAATACTAACCTGGTACACATACTATGTTCAGGTTGTGCGCCATCTTGGTACACATACTTTGGGAGCACCGAAATAAATAATAAATTGTCAATAATCAGTATTTCAATTTTCACCATATTGAAAATAGGCACAAACATACAGATTGCAATAAATTATAAATAGGCCATATTTCAGGGTGAAGCAGACGCGGAAAAACCAGTACTGTTTATCGAGTAGCGGCACCCATAAAATAAGTCTAACACAAAATGATAAAGAAGAAAAAGTAGAACTGAGTACATTTAATTTGAAAAAAAAAAAACACACACAAAATATCTCGAGGCGATCTGCTATAACCAGCATTCGCTCACTTCAAAACAAATAAAAAGACGACTCCGAGCACCACCAACTCGGTGACCATGGAGATGGCAGTAGTGGTCTGTATCACAACAATACCATTGTGGGATGCACGTTGTCTAACAATGGGCAATAAACGTCAGATTGTAATGTCTTTGATATAAAAATTTTCGGGATTTTCGCGATCTTCAACTATAATTTTTTGACTTCATATAGAAAAAAAAAAAAACAGGGACTTATGCGCTTCATATAAATGCACAAGATAAATAATACTCAAATTAAAAATTATTAATTATGGGTCTAAAATTATGATGGAGAAAAAAAGATAAATTGTCTTTAATTCAAAACAGGATACTCTAGGCAAAGAACAGAAAGAAGATGGACAACATGAATAATGTTCAATTTAAAGATTTTGAATTTAACTTAAGTCCTGACTGAGTTAGGTTAGATCAGGGGTCTCAAACACAATTTACCCAGGCGCCACTGAGAGCAGAGTCTGGTTGGGTCCGAGCCGCATCCGGTTTTCCACAATGAAAGCTTAGTTTGAACAATTCAAATATTTTCTATTTTATTTTTGTTCAAGCAAGCATTTTGGCGATGAACAGTGATGTCTTACTACACGGAAAACATGGTTATAATTTATCAATATAAATCTAAACGTTTGTGATTGTGACGTCTAAAACTTAACTTAACCGAAAACTCATATTAAATGTTTTAATGATGCGGACTGAGCTAAGTTACTTGCGGGCCACACTGACATTAAATTTTCATACTAAGGCAGGCGTCAAAACTATTGTACTGCGGGCCGCAATTGGCCCCCGGGCCGCAAGTTCGAGAACCTTTGTTTAGATTGATATATCTTCAATTTAAAACAGGACAATCAACGTTAAGAACAGGAGATCCAGAATGACATAGGTATTGAACTGAGTTTGTGTTGCATCACTTGCTGTCGTCGTAGATTTCAGGGGGGTAGAGGCTGGGGGAGTTCGAGTTGCGACACTTGGCTTTGCAGTAGATTCCAGGGGAGTAGTGCCAGGGAGAGTTTGAGTTGCGCCACTTGGCTTTTCAGTAGCTTCCAGGGGAATAGTGACAGGGACAGTTTGAGTCGCGCCACTTGGCTTTGCAGTAAATTCCAGGGGAGTAGTGGCTGGGAGAGTTTGAGTTGCGACACTTGGCTTTGCAGTAGATTCCAGGGGAGTAGTGCCAGGGAGAGTTTGAGTTGCGACACTTGGCTTTTCAGTAGCTTCCAGGGGAGTAGTGACAGGGACAGTTTGAGTCGCGCCATTTGGCTTTGCAGTAAACTCCAGGGGAGTAGTGGCTGTGAGAGTTTTTGTTGCGCCACTTGGCTTTGCAGTAGCTTCCAAGGGAGTCGTGGCTGGGAGAGTTTGTGTTGCGCCAATTGGCTTTGCGATAGCTTCCAGGGGAGTCGTCGCCGAGAGAGTTTGTGTTGCACCACTTGGTGTCGTCGTAACTTTCAGGGGGTTAGTGGCCGGGAGAGTTTGAGTTGCGCCACTTGGCTTTGCAGTAGTTTCCAAGGGAGTCGTTGCTGGGGGAGTGTATCCATCTTCGCCAGGAAAGATGCTCAATGTATTACAATCATCTGTAAAAACAGAAATAAATGTGTTATGGAATTGATTACTGTGGCAATAAATAACGCAAGCAATAAGCAACGCTAAAAGCAAGCGTTTTTACTCGCAAACAAGTGAACAATGCTGAAATATATGGATACGACGGCCGCTGGTACTTCCGAAGTATGTGAACCAAAATGGCGGACACCGGAACGTAGTATGTGTACCAGGTTAGGGTTAGGCCATAATTTCAGGTACACATACTACGGGAGTCACATTGCTAGTCCCTGAACTCGTGATAGAACTAAAATGAGGAAAATTTGGAATAAAATTATGGCCTAACCCTAACCTAGTACACGTACACATACTACAGATCGCGGAATCGCCGCACGGTGCGAAATTAACACGTCATCATACTAAATAATGTATTTTTTTAATTTTAAAGAGAAGCTTCCAAAGTATGTGAACCAAGGAGGCAGAAACCGGAAAGTAGTATATATTCCTCGTTAGGGTTAGGACATAATTTTATTCCGATTTCCCCTATTTTAAGTCTAGAGTCCAGGGACTAGCCAAGTGACTCCCGTAGTATTTGTACCTGAAATTATGGCCTAATTCTAACCTGGTACACATATTACACGGTGTCCGAAACCTACATTGGACTTCAGCTCTAGCTAGGAGATCCTTATTATCAGTCGTTCTGTCTGTCTGTTTAGCTGTAGCGTCTAAATTGCTGGGCCGATCTGGTTGAAATTTCTCACGGGGGTTGTGCTAACACCCTAATATTATGGTATTATGCGTTCCACGGGAAGTTTCCATGTTATCAGCGGCAAACGTGCTGATTGTTGAGGAATTTCATTTTTTTTACTATTTGTCGCCATTATCTCCTAAACTACTTCGAAAATGATTCTGAGATTGCTACATCCCGCAGAAGTAAATACTCTTTCCATTTTGCATCTCGTTAATAAATGAACTTGGGAAGCTTTAGGAATTTTGGTGACCATGGCCTGTCATTAGCGCTCATGAATAAAAAAAAAGGCAAATGCGCAGTGCTTAAAAATAAATGGCAGTTTCGGCAACGTGATTAATGAAATACGCTGTCGTTATAGCTACAATTTTGCGTGGATGGTAACGGTTTACTGAAGTGCGGGCCGTTTCATATATTATCGGAGAACCTAGACGCCTACCGACTTGTATATTTACCAATTACCAACTACTTTTTATGATCGCTATTGTAGTTATGACGAAGAGTGTAAATTGTATGTACACTCAACATTTCAAGTTATACTCAATTTACCTGTATCGCATGTGTAAACACACTTTGTAGCAGAAAGGTTTTCAAGAAGAAAAGTAATAAAATCAATATATTCATTATCATTTCGGTCATGTTCTTCGCATCCAATATCAACAGCTACCGGGCTGCATGTTCTATTGTACTCGAAGCCATGAGCTTTTCCAACTGAAAGTGACGGAAAAAATGTCATAAATACTTGACCTAAATTTTAATTATTAGGGTATGCATTGAGTATGCCTAACTGTGTGCGGCGATGATTAATTTTGCATCGCAGGTCAAAGGTTGGTACTTCCGTAGTATGTGTACCAAGATAGGGTTAGGGCTCAATTTTATTTCAATTTTTCTTATTTTAGTTATATTACAAGTGCGAAGACTGTCTGTGTTAGCCAAGTGAATATACCCCCTGCCCATAGGTTTCAGTCCCTCTACACAACTTGATGTAAAGTTGGCGAACAAAATTAGTTACTTCCCTATTGGTACACACACTGCTGAAGCGCCCTAAGATCTGCGAGGGAATTAAAGTTAGAAGCGAGAAGTATGATTTAGGAGTAAGTATCGGTATTTCACATATCAATGGATTCATGAAAATGTTACACAATACCTAATTACAAGGCCAAAGCACCAAAATAATAAATAAAAAATGATAAAAAAAAATTATATTAAAAGAAAGTTTTTCGGATCGGTGGACTATCAAAATCAACGAAAGATATCATAAACACCCAGAAAAAAAAAACAATATGATATTTAAATTTGATGGTAAATTTTCGTTTTCTGTTTTAATCGAATTTGTAGTTGAACTAAGGAGACAGTAAACGGTCAAAAAACCGGTGGTTGAAAAAGCTTGAGGAAAAAATCGTCGCTCCGGGAGTATGTGAACCATGATGACGCACACCTTGAACACTAACCAGGTACACATACTATGTTCAGGTTGTGTGCCATCTTGATACACATACTTCGGGAGCTCCAAAAATCAATAGCTCTTCCTTACTCTTTGTAACCAGACAGTACTGATCTTCAGCTGCACATTCAATTAAATAATCATCAGAAAAGTCATCGCCGTGACATCCATCTGTGGGATCGTATGTATATGATAAGCAGTTGAAACAGCGGAGTGAACCTGAACAGAGATGTCGAAGTTATTTCAGAATTCTGTTCCGTATAGTTTAAAGCTTTTTTTATCTGACCATACAAAAGATTCAACTAAGATTCGAGGTTTGAGAAACTGCAGCTCACAAAATTGCAAAAAGGAATGTCTGTCTCTACATTAGTAGGGTTACGTCATAATTTTATTCTAATTTACCTCATTTTAGTATCTTAACGAGTTCGGGGACTAGCCAAGTGACTCCCGTAGTATTTGTAACTGAAATTATGGCCTAACCCTAACCTGGTACACACACTACGTTTCGGTGTCCGCCATCTTTAGATTACGATTAGTTCACCAATAAATCTGGCGCTCCTGAAGTATGCGTACCAAGATGGCGGACACCTGAACGTAGTATGGATACCAGGTTAGGGTTAGGCCATAACTTTAGGTTCAAATACTACGAGAGTCACTTGGCTAATCCTCAAACTTGTAATTGAACTAAAATAAGGAAAATTGGAAAAAAAGTATGGCCTAACCCTAACCTGGTACACATACTATGTTCCGGTGTCCGCCATATTGGTACACATACTTCAGGTGTATCATAAATTCAATTACCTGTTTCCAAGAAGAAACTAAGTACAAATATCCCCGAAATAATGATATGCAAATTCATAATGAAGGTCTTTCTGTTAAACTATTCTATTGGAAGAATATTATCTAAAAATGTAATGTGTGATAATTACATCAATTTAAAAACCATAATTGATTGTTAAATATTCAAATTAACATTACGTAATAATAATCTATTTGTTAAATAAGTCTTGCTGCACACTAACACAAATATGCTACAACCAGTTTTAGGCTCAAATTGTAATTATGTAATCGGGTCTCTTCCAGAGTGATTATTCTAATTTCATTTTCAATTTCTATCAGTGATACTTGTAGATGCGTTTTTGGTAATAGTGCAAGATAAATAGTTGTAGGATTTCTGATTGTTAACGTCCTGGTACTGACCCTTTCTTCACTTCCCTCGACAGTGTAAGGTAATACGGTATGTATTTCATATATCCTCTTCACAGCTTAGCCACATTAGCGTACAACTTATACAGAAGTTTGACGCTACCGTAAACCAATTCACAGTGATCTGTTACATTGGTGATAATTTTGCTGAAGGAAAATTTAAGTTTTGGCCTAATTAGTACGAACGTGTTACGTAAGTGATTTTTTCAAATTAGAAAAAGGTTTTGGACCAGTTGGGATCCATCTGCATCATCATTTTTTCTTTGCCGCCGTTCGAATTACTAATATTCCCTACAATAGTTTTCGAATAAGGAGTTTTATATAGCTTTTCATGATTGTTTTTACGGGTTTGCAGTCCGGTTTGCGCCTAGTTTCCCTGACAGTGTTTGACTTTCTAGTCTTCAATATTTCAATATATCTGATGATTGATTGAAATTTTCATTTTTTTGCTAACATTATACTGAAAGATGTTATCCATGTCATTAGAATACAGATATTTCTTGTTTTTTGATCTGACATGGGCAAACTACCGCCCGTCGGCCAAATCCAACCCGTTGACTAATTCAATCTGGCCCGCCTGATGCTGCCACAACCAAACTAAACCCAAATTTTGATGTTTTAGCTAAAATAGTTCAAGAATTTTGATGAGGTTGCAGTTAAATTTTGTTTCGGCACGAGTCTTATTGTTTTCCACGTTTGCTTTTGAAACGGGCTAACGGATCTTTTGTAAAGGAATTTTTGGGGTAATTTTTCTGATTCATTGCAAAAACTGAATAGCTCAGCAATAACACTGTGAATATTGTTCATAATATATAAATTTTTACGTCGCACTTACATGGCCCGCCAATCTAGGTGGACTGAATTTTTGGCGAATTTTTTTTTGATTCTTTGCAAAAACTCAATAGCTCAGCAATAACATTGTGAATATTGGTCATAATATGTGAATTTTTACGTCGCACTTACATGGCCCGCCAATCTAGGTGGGCGGAATTTTTGGTGGAATTTTGGATGACTTTTATTGACTAATAATTTTTGTGAAATGACATGTAAAATCCTCCCGGTAGTCAGGCCATCCAGCCTGATAAAGTCACGATAATCACAGGCAACACCATTTTGTATATTTACAAAAATTTGAAAAATAATGATTTTGAAAATAATGTATATGGAAACTATTTAAGGTTTTTAAACTTCAGCCATATCCAATAGAAGATACTCCCGTAGTATGTGTGTGTACCAGGTTAGGGTTTATGCCATAGTTTTATTCCGATTTTCCTTCTTTTAGTTTTATTACGAGTTCGGAGATTGTCTGTGTTAAGCCAAGTGAATATTCCCCCTACCCATAAGGTTTCAGTCCCTTTACACAAATTGGTGTAAAATAAGCGAAGAAATAGTTACCTCTATATTGGTACACACACTTCTGGAGCGCCGAATATAGGGGTTTCAGAATTCAGAGTGGAAAAGTTGGAATATTTTGTTCATAGCAAATCATTCCGCGCCCTTGTTGATCTCACTGTAGAATGCGAAGACATGAATATAATTCTCTCGACCACATCATGGCAACAATATCTTCAACAACACAGATACAATTCGCTCACAAAATGACAGTCATAGTCGAGTTTATTTATTCCATCCAGTAAAAAGTAACATACAAAGTTCAAAAATATAATTTTGAAAACTAATTGCACTGGAGAAAGAAAGCCGCGGAGAACTGAAGCTGGTTATCAAACAGCGAGACCCAAGGTTCGAGTATCTAAGTAAATATTTTAGGTTCTAACAATTTGACATAAGTGTACTGTTTTTATTGATGAGCGAGGCTTTGGTAGTCAAATCACAGAGAATAATAAATGTGGTCAAACAACCAACATAGCGCAACGCAAATTTCATGTATCAACATTAACATTTGTCCTGCCTTGAGACTGAAGGGGTATTCCTCGATTAAGCAGACTGAAATGAGAAACACAATGAAAGAGCGTGGGTGGGAAAGAATAATATATTCTTTTTAGTTTCAATTTATTATCTCAATTTTTGGGGAATTTTGGTAGCCTACCTGTAATTAATATTTCGATGATTTTTGTTTTAATTTATTAAGGGAAAATCAAGGACGCATGAGCTTCATAAATCCACAACATAAATGAAATTCCATTCAAAAATTAGTAATTATGGCTCTAGAGTTCTGATGGAAAAAAAAAGATAAATTGTCTCCAATCTGAATTAACGTAAAGAATAGGATGGAGTTGGTAAACATAAATAATATTCAAGTCAGAGATTAAGGATTTATAGCATAAACTTAAGTACTGCCTGAGAATAGAAACAGAAATCTTCATTTTAAAACAGAACAAATAACGTTAGAGACAGAAGATGCAAAACGATGTAGATATTGAAATGAATTTGAGTTGCACCACTTGGTGTCGTAGTAGCTTCCAGGGGGGCCGTGGTAGGGGGAGTATATCCATCTTCGCCAGGGAAGATGTTTAATGTATTGCAACCATCTGCAAAAAAAGGAAAAAATTGGATAAAACGAATCTTTTAGGACAAACACAAATTTTTGAAATAAATTACAGTAATAGCCTTCTAGTGATAACAACAACCTTTGACCCCGAAACCCCCGAAAGTAATTGGTTCAGTAGTTAAAAAGAAAAGCGTTTCACATCAACAGAAACAACAACAAGAACAACAAATAAACAAAAAAGATTCATAGGTCCACGTCGTTTCCAATAAGGTGGGCTGCACCGAATCCGAACATCGCGGACCTTCCAACAAGTTCACAATTACGTATCTTTATTTTATAAAGATGAATAAGTCATGTTGGTGTGGCGTATCGTGCTAAGCGTTAGGAGTATGCTCGCCACCGCATCTCTGATTACCCTGCGTGAGTTTGCAGATTCAAATCCCATTCGGGTATAGTTATATTCGAGAGGATTGCTGTACTCCTCGTCGCTATATGGTGTTTCAAGCAACCGCTGGTCAGTTATCGCTTCCTCTACCCTCAATTCAATGCATCTGCAAACAATTTCCTGGCTAACTAATCTAATACCCAACATGGACTGGTAACCGGACGAGTAGCCGTGGTTCGCCATATAATTGGTTCGTTCTCCTATTGACTTTCCTTTCCCCCGGGATGTAGAATATATCCCATCTTGTGGAATTGTAATTTCACCCTTTAAAGCTATTCCCCATTTACCTGTATTGCATGTGTAAACACACTTTGTAACAGAATAATAATCATAGTCAAGAATTTCGCATCCAATTGCAACAGCTACCGGGCTGCATGTCCGACTGTACTCGCTGTACTCAGCTCCTTCAACTGAAAGTAATAGAACAATTTTTTTTTAAATATTTCACTCTAATTATGATTGGTAGAGCAGCGGTGGGCATTTTTTTTGGAACATTGATTTTGGACTCAACTGGAGACTCGGATAACTAGTGAGAAAAGGATTTTGGGACTTCAACCAAACCAAATTGTAATACGTATATTGGAGGACCGACAGGAAAGTAAAAACCGACAAGCGGTTCGTGAAACTCTGATCTGAGACTTCAAAAGCTCTTTCTTACCATCCGTTGACATTCTTGTAATCAGACAGTACTGATCTTCAGCTGCACATTTCGTCAAATAACCATCGGAAAAGTCATCGCCGTGACATCCATCTGTGGGATCGTATGTATTTGATGAGCAGTTGAAGCAGCGCGGTGGACCTGAATAATAACATCGAAATTATTTCAGAATTCTGTTCCGTAGAGTGTGATATGTTTTCATCCGACCCATACAAAAATTTCGAGAGATTTGAGAAACAACAGCTCGCAAAATTGCGAAAAAGAGTGTTTATCTCTACAGTTACGTAACAATACTTAACAATATGATCTCTACTGTTACTTAACACCATTGTCATAGTCAAGTTTATTTTTTTTCATACAGTAAAAAATAATATACGAAATTAATTATAGGGATCAAAATAAAACTGACAATTTTCAATATATCTGTGGCCCATTTCAGAATATTTCCGTGGCCCAGCAGTGGGCCATGGCCCACTCATTGAGATTCGGTGGTTTAAAGCAAAAAGCGTGAATTCGCGTCTAATAAAAAGAATATGATTAAATCAAATTACTTGTGGATAAAACAATTCGGCATCGTTAAAGCTTCATAGCTTCATTTAATTCTGTTTTTTCAGTTTGCATCGCAAAAGAAAACAAAACAGAACGACGTAATTTAGGTACTTTCTAAAGCGGTAGAAAATAGACTCACTTCTGGGCTCCGAAGATGTATCCGGAACGGGTGGTTCTGCTCTCGGAGTCGAATACTCCGGTACAGACTCCGGTGTACTATCCGGCTCTGGCGAAGCACCCCACTCCGGTGTTGTTTCCGGCTCTCCCGTCGCGCCTATTTCTGCCGTAGTCTCAGGTTCCATATCGTACGGTTTTGATGTTTCGTCCACCATAGAAAATGCCTCGGTAAGTGGCGAGAGTGTGGTTGTGAATTCGGGCTCATTTGGAAAAACATTCATACCATTGCAACCGTCTAAAATGAACGATGCAGAGTAAAACATTTAAAAATTCATCAGTACAATTTCCATTTTAAAATATTTGGAAATGTTCTATTTTACTTTTTCAGAAGAGCAGGAGCCACAAATGACGAGAGATAAAAACATGTTTGTTGAAAGGTTGTTAATAAATTGAATAAACAACGCCGTATTAGGAAGGTTCGAGTTTTTTTTCAAAAGTATAATAGGTTTCTATGTGGAAGTGGCTCCTTATATAAGGCCACGTTTAGAGAGACTGTTGTAAAACCATCATGAAAGATATAAATTGCAGGTGTTTCAAATATCTTGCATCACAACTTTTATTCTTCAACGATCCATTACTCCAAATTCAGACTTTCTCAGTTTATAGTTTACAATAATGAGACCAGCAGTGGTCTCATGAGTTATTCTTACCTCCTTCGCACGTATATGTGCATGATACACCGTCATATTCAGCAGTGTTCACCAGAGCACATTTTTCAACTTTTCTTTTAGCGCACGTCCTTTCATACTGGATGAGCTCGGAACCGCCAACTGTAAAAGAAAATATCAGAATACTAGAATAATGGGTATATGTTGTTTACTATTATATATCTACTAGTGTTAAGTAGAAGCTTCAATACGACGAGTCGATATCCAAGTCGAGTCACGAGTCATCTCAGTCTAGTCAATTACTGAGTTAAGTCTCATTAAGTCTCTAGTTACAATGGCTTTTTGATACATTGCAACCTTCAACGTTATAAGACAGGGGTGTGCAACCTATAGTACAGGAGGGCGAGATACAAAAGAATGCGCAAAACCATGCTTATTCAAAATCTCGGTTATTGATCTCATGACATGTGTTGTTCGCTTCACACAAGCATTGTAACGTCCTGGCCATAGATAATAAATTAGACTCAAGTACAGGATTTGCAACGGAAAGGGATTGGAATTACTCGCACGAAGTCGATTAAATTAAAAATTGAACCATACACCATTCGAAATTGGCATTTTCTCAACGTTTTTTTGTGGGGGGGGGGTTTTTTGCTTATTTCCGAATACAATTGAAAATAGTACGCAGTTTTGCAGTGGAAAATAAAGCCAAAAATTTTCGAAGGGGGTGCAATACTGCGAAATCAACAAGGTCGACGGTCTTCTAAAGAAATTTTCACATAATGACCTTTTGACTAATAAAGATAAATTATACCTCTATTTTCAAATAATGACCCATAGTATAGATAACATTATCTTTTTCCATAAAATAGCAAGTATATTTGTTTAGCTTTTATAAGGTTATAGTCTAACTCGGGGCAAGGTTTATGAACTTGGGGACAATTTTGACTACCTAGACTGGCGGGCCATGTAAGTGTGACATACAAAGTTACATTTTATTAACAATATTTACAGTGTTACAGAAGCAACAGTCGAAAACAATAAGTCTCGTGCCAAAACTAAATTTAATCGCAATCGCAACAAATTCCTTGAGCTATTTTTAGTTAAAACATTAATATTTGGTTTCAGTGTGGTTGTGGCAGCATCAGGCGCGCCAGATTGAATTACCCAACGGGCTGGATTTGGCCCGCGGGCCCCACTTTGCCCAAGTCTGAACTCTAACTTCTTCAGACATAACAAAAGATCATTTTTCGTTCTGCATTAGGATATGAGACAAAAGGTAATTTACAATAAACTTGTTCTATTTATCATTAAAACTTACATGATCCTTCATATCTTATGACTTGGCAGAACGTTTCCGTCTCTTCACATTCAATAAGAAATTCGTCCGAAAAATCTTCGTGACATCCGGCAGTTGGCGCCAAAGATGCGGAAGTGCAGTTCATGCATATAGTGGCATTCCCTTAAAAGAGATTTTTGAATTTAGAATCTTTGAGACAATTACTGAGCTAATTTTTACTCGCGGTTAGCTGAGTATCATTCGATTTTGACAATTCAAGTCACTTCGAGTCACGGTGACTCGATCCCACTCGAGTTAGCAGGTATGTCATGCATCCAATAGCATTGCCTTGGAAGCGACTTTCGTATAAAGAATAGAAAAAACAATAACGATATTGTTAAATGCCGTTTTCTAAGTCATAAAAAGCAAAAAAAATATTGAAATAGTTGTTTGCTAGGTCTTTTTTTAAACGTGTCTTACCCCTGTTTTTGGTCTGTTATACCCAAAATGATAACAAGAAAACTACATCAGTATGCACAATAGATAACAATTCGAGAATTTTGAAGACGAGTTCAATGAAATAGGTATTGAATCAAATATAGCATCCATTTGGTTCAGCTACCGCATATCACACAATGCATATGTACTGCATACAATCTATATTCGGCGCTCCCGAATTATGTGAATCAAGATGGCGGACACCGAAACCTAGTATGTGTACCAGGTTAATGTTAGGTCATAATTTGAATCCCATTTTCCCTTATGTTTGTTCTATTACGAATTTGGAGCTTAGCCAAGTGACTCCCGTAATATTTTTATCTGTAAATATGGCCTAACCCTGACTTGGTACACATACTACGTTCCGGTGTCCGCCATCTTGTTACACATACTACGGAAGTATCCTATATTCAACTGGAGTCGAGTGAATCTAATACTGGCAGTTACTAGAGTGTATTGTATCAAATTTAACAAATGTAACGACAAAATGAACAACGCAAACTCGGCCCATGAGCATTGAAAATGTCAAGCGACATTCGAGATATTCCAACGAGCCAGGGAAGGAAATACTAAAACACGATTAATTAGGTAATTTGAATACTTGATTGACAAAATTTTAAAATGTGTAATCAGTAAATTTTTTCATTATAGTGAAAATACGCGCTGTATATGAACAATGTAAAAAAGTGAAACTTGACATTTTAGGGTGAAAGGAAACGCGAAAAAACAGAACGGGTTATGGAACAGCTATACCTTAGTATTACGCAAGACAAGAAAGAGAAAAAAACAGAACTGTTATAGCCAAATAATCTCTGCATAAACAAATTGACAAGGCTATTTTTTGATTATATTTATTTTATATTGAGTATTGAGTATACATCTGTGAGGGCCAAAGCAATATATGGTTCGATAAAATCCTTTTGAATTTTAAATTTTTTTATTACTTTTTGGACACCTTATATATAAAGTCTAACAATGGATAATACAAATTTCGAACCATGAGCATTGGAAATGTCAAGCGACATTCGAGATATTCCAACGAGCCAGGAAAGAAAATATCAAAACACGATTAATTGTGTAATTTGAATACTTGATTGACAGACACACGAGATCAGGTAATCAATTTGTAACCTCTACACAAAAGTTCAGCGTTAAAATTGAAACCAATTGCAGACGGTGGTTTAAACAAAGCAAAATTACATCATTGTGATAAAATGTTCAACTCAGCGATTTTTAACATGGGGCCATGGCCCTCCAAGGGGGCCACAAAGCGATTGAAGAGGGACCACAACGCTAGCCACAGAGTTGATTTCACATTTCCCTTCCTGAGAAAACTCCCCGTTCTCCATTGTTTCCTTTCGTGAAAAGGTTATTTCATAAGACGTGTCCACGTTGTTGAGCATGAATTGTTCTAACGTAATGGGATTTGGAATATACTACTGATATTAACACTAAATAATACCACTGGAATGGTAATCAGGGGGGGGCATGAGTGCTGAAAGCATCTGCAAGGAGGCCACGAGTCATAAAAGGTTGGAAAGACTTTAACCCATTTATCCAGTCCCGTTAAATTGGTAAAACATCTAATGACAAGGATGTGCTCTATGAATAAATACTTTTGTAAGACAAATTGTCAAATTTGTATATATAAGACGCAGGTAAGGTCCAAAACCGGTCCTCCAAAAAATAATTGCCTATTGCGTAACAATGGTTGCTGTACGGAGTCTTGTTATTAGTGAAGCATTAAAAACACTAGATAAATTAACAGAGAATCGAGTAATATTCCTTTCAAAGCATTTGAAGTGACTGTTTATTCGTAGCGACCGAAATTAACTTTTTGCAAAACATACACATAGGGCTGAGCATTTCGAATCGAATATTCGAATCGAATAGTAAATTATTCGAATCGGTTCAGAGAAAATTTTGAATCGCCACCATCTTGTTTTTTTCTGTCCGCCAAAAGTCGAGAGGAACTCTTTCAATTTTTGTGTTGAAGAGACCCAGTTATATTTAAAATGTCACATACAATCACAAGCGCTCCCGAAGTATGTGTACGAAAATGACGCACAACATGAACCCAAACCTAGTACACATGCTATTTTCAAGTTGTGCGCCATTTTGGTACACTTACTACGGGAGCTCCCAATCACATATTTAATATTCGAGATTCGAGTCGAAAAAAAAATTTGATTTGATTCTGAAATGATCAGGCATTCGAGAATTCCCAGCGCTACAATACACATAATCATGTATTGCTATTGAATTCATTGAATCCAACGTTATTCAATCACGATTGGTTGATTAATAAATTCCCTTACCTGTTTTCCAGAAGAAACTAAGTGCAAATAACCCCGAAATAATGATATGCAAATTCTTCATGTTAGAGACTTATATTCCTGTTAAACTATTCTATTGGATTAAATTAAGTGTCTGAAATTGAAACATTAAGGCATTGTATAAATTTAGAAACATTAATAGGTCGTTAATTTGATCGTTAAATACTCAAATTACCATTGCGTAATACTAAATAAACTATTTAATCCAAGACTTTGCTGCACACTTACACAAGCAAACTTCTGTAACGTTTCATCTGACCGAGGTCAGATTTCTTGAGACAAGCAGATTGTGGCATTATAAACTAGTGAATATATAATATACAGGGTGTCAAAAAAGTTACGCAAAACTAAGGTAAAATTTTTCGTCGTGTCAACTTTAAAAAAGTAACTGTTGAAAGCGTCAGTCGCTAAATGTTTTAAGTAACATTTCGTGATAACTTACTGTTAATTTTGCGTCACTCTTTTAACAGCCTGTAGTATTAAACCTCAAATTGCGTAATACTAATCAATCTAGTTCAATGGTTCTGCTGCACACTAACATAAAAGGCTCAATTTGTGATTATGTAATCGAGTTTATTTGATAGTGATTTTTATGAAATTGTTGAGGACCTTTTCGTAAAGTTGTAAATGCGTTTTTTGCAATATTATTCGAATTAGGAATTATATATACCTTTCTGCACTTGTTTTACGGGTTTACGTTCGATGTATCCGTTTAGCACCTAGTTTTCATCCATTAACCGAGATATATCCGTTTTACCAACGAAAGGTTTTCCCAAAACCCAATTTCTGTGACATTTCTTTACACCACGATATTTGTGTTTGAATTTCAAATCTAGTTATGTTGTCTAATGCAATTAATATATATATCTAATTACTGACTAAAATTTGTTTTCATTTTCTAAAACTACACTAAACGATATTTTTCATATCATTATAAGATAAATCTTTCTTGTTTATGAGTATAGTTGTGAAGCCAAGGCCGAACCGTAAAGACTTTTGATTCCTCGACAAAAATAGTAACTGATCATTATCTGCCTGTATGGACTTTAAAACATATAACCGCATCAAAAACTTATTATCAGGATTACTTTTGCAAAAATAACAACATAGAATAGTTTATCCATACTGTGACTGCTAAAAATAATACATAACATTACATTAATGCATATTCTAACTTATACCGTATTCTTAATTTCCATACACACTCAAAGAATGTTTTAAATTCCTTTACTGTCCAAAACATTTTCGCGCGAACCGACAGTTTCTCTCGTGAGATCGTCCGATCGTCCGAAAATTTCACAGCGTCTATTGTGATTGCTACAATTTTGCTAATTTTAAACGGCAATTTAGATTTAGTTCCAAGATAGGTGAGTGACGAATGCGTCAATTTTAGAAAACATGAAAGCAATGCTCAAATATATGGACAGGTCAAACGTCAAATGTCAAAATAGTGTTCCCATGGAATAAATAAAAAAGGCAAAATTTAGTTTGATTGATTGATTGAAATAGTGAGCTAGTGAGGTTGGGTAATGGTCGGACCCCTCGGGTTAAATTGTGTTTAATGTGACCTGCGGTTGCGTCGACAACATAATAACATTACTATGAAATATCACGGTAATCCATGCCCCAAAATTTTTTTAAACAGCCCGATTATATCTAGTTTTGATTCGTATTTTTGCAATCTTACGAATTATACAAATTTGATCTGTTGTTGCAACACTGACTCCGCTCTATCACAATGCTACCACCCAGGATTATTTTCAAGATATCAACGTTAAAAAATTCCTATACCTGCGATAGAATAGCAACAACATTTTATTACGATGAAAATTCATTGTACAGTGATACCCCGGTAGTCGACCAAAAATTTCGAGTCAAGGAATCTGCAATTCAAAATTCGGATGTCGAACACCCGAGCCGATGGAGGCTCGCGATCGAGTGAGTTGGCGCTACCCGAATCCGAACATATTCGATATAGGTCAAGAGTCGAGACTGGCGTACGAAAATCTTGGTATGCAATTGAAATTTTCAAATCGTCAGTTCGCCCTTATATAAAGCGCTTAGTAAAGTAAAATCTCACTAAGTAAAAGAGAAATATAGTTTCAAACTTTGTGTTTGGCTAGTGTATCAATAAACAGAATAACTTTCACAATATCAGGTCACATCCAAAAAGATAGAATCATTAGAAATTACTTTACATGGCATAACTAATAATTGATAGTGCATTTAAAAAAATAAAGAATGCGGTATGTATTTATTCCACTCGCCTAATAACTGCATTCAGTTTATGCAGATAAACTGGTACAAAAAAATTAATTGATGTAAGGATAATCCTTGATATCATAAATCTTGAGTAAATTAAGTAAAAATTGATTACGGCCATATATTTGTTTTATTTTCATGTACTTTTATTAGAAAATAAATGCTGATACATTTTCCAGTAACCCTGGCCTTTCCCGCGCAATGGGGAAAACACGTATTTATACAATAAATATATATATATATATGATTTCCAGCCTAAATAAAGAATTGAATTGGGCATGTAAAACCATATTACAATTGGTAATTTATCCGCCTTTATCTCTCTCTCCCCCCCCCCCCCCCCCCACACTCAACGTTTCCAGCCTTTTTCCACACATTCTTCTTTCTGACCTATCTGTGTTTTTACAAATCGAACACCGTATTGTGACACCGCCTAACCTCAAAAGGATTACAATCTACCGCATAAGAATTGGTCACATATTTTAAAACAATCGTCCGACTAATCTCGTGCCCGCAAGGCTAGATAGGCCGAATAAATATAAACATACGTATAGTTAAGTAGCTTAACCGCAAATATCTTAAACACTAAAGCTATGTACGAAGTTCAATTTTCATATTAAAATTTGAAGTTGTTGTTTTGCTATTTCTTTTTTTTTGATGAAAAATATTATGAATATGCTTTTATGCATTGTACGAATATGGTAAAATAATTAAGATAAGTGTAAACATCAGGTGGGGCTACGCTAGACTAATTCCCGTTCTTTTGTGCCTTGCATGAGCACACTACGGCCCGCGGTCTAAATCCGGCCCGTTGGGTAATTCAATCTGATCCGCCTGATGCCGCCACAACCAAACTAAAACCAAATATTGATGTTTTAGCTAAAATAGCTCAAAAATTTGTTAAGATTGCGATTAAATTTAGTTTTGTCACGAGATTTGTTGTTTTCCAATTTCACTTTTGTAGCACTGTAAATATTGTTCATAGAAGGTAACTATTTACGTCACACTTACATCGCCGTCAGTTACCCGTCAGTGTATGTGGCCAAAGATTAATGCCTCTGGTCCAAAAAGCTTGCTCAATGTTACGAAATAATATTTTGACATGGCTATGGTTTACGTAAAATATTCTAAATTGTCGATTAATGCAAGTAATTTTATTTCATTTTTGCATCGTGCACGAATTTATGTTCTAGTATATGGACTTTAGTTATTGAGCGTGTGGAACCACATCTAAATATACACTCTCATTATAAATTAAACATAAATCAAATTAATATGTTTCTGATAGTCTTTCTGATCGATTGGGTGACATAATCTTTTTTACACGCGCACAAAACTACGCAGAACGTGGAATTAATAAATGACTTTGAATTGAATATTGTACATATACGTCTCTGCTGCACCTCCTATTATTAGGTGACCAACTCCCTCTCGTCAATGCTGAACTAATCAATCGAATCAGTTAACATTTTGATTCAAATGATGGTTGCAATATGAATGTTGAACAAACGAGTATGTTGTTTGCCGATTAAATATTTCTACTATATTTTCAAAGCTCTTACTCTTTCAGGGATAAACAATCCTGGGTACTCCAGTGGTGTATGTACCAGGTTAGGGTTAGGTCATAATTTTATTCCGATTTTCCTTATTTTAGTTCTATTACGAGTTCGGGGGACTGTCTGTGTTAGCCAAGTGAATATACCCTTTGCCCATAGGCTTCCATCCCTATGCACAACTTGATTGATGTAAAGTAGACGAACAAATTAGTTACCTCCATATTGATACATACAGTTCTTGGGCGCCTAATTTTGTTTTATTCTCAAGCTTTTGGCGATTTTCAATTATATATTTAATAATTATATTTGATATTGTTCAAAAATTTCCGATTTCAAATACAATAAAAAAAAAACTGTTAAATTATTAATAAACTAGTAGAAGTTCTAGATAATGCCGCTGTACTTCTCTCTATGTTTTCAACTTTCAAACTGTTTTTAATTTTTCTCCATTCAATTTTTCCTCGTCTATCTACTAGCAAAACTTTTTCTTATTAAACATTTATAGTTCGCAAACGCTGAAGTATCACGCCATATTTAGAAAGATCGATAGCTCATGTTTTATGAAATCTAAAGATATCACTGTTAAAAAAATTGCAATTTGTCGTGAGTTTATGCAACATAGCAAGTTATTTTGATTTCTGCTATCACGTTATGTGAGAGGTTGTTATCAAAAGAATATCTTAGGATATTTATGAAAAGCTTCCAGAGGAAATAAATACCGAAGAACTGACGCCGCGATGACGTCATACAAATATGACGTCATGATCAACATTGGGCGTGATAATGGCTTGTGGCAATCGCACTAATATGATAATTTTGATTCAAAAAATTCAAATGGAAGTTAAATTTGAAAATTTAAATTATTTATTTGAAAAAATAATTACTTTATCGATCTTTTATTAACCACGCCGTTTGCAGAAATTTCTCAGTAATAATGAATTGAAATATTATAGTTGTTCAATTAATGTTGTTTTTTACAATATTCTCTGAAGGATATCGGATTTTGATCAACAGTGGCTCGTGTTAACCACAATAATGTGCCAGGTTTTTGCATAATAGAGAGTTTCTAATTGATACTTTTAGAAACTATTGCTTTATTAACTCTTTCAATGACCACACCCTTGCAGAAATCTTGTCATATTCATATATTAGTGGTTCCTAGTCAAGAGTAGAGATTTGAATTCATGAAATAATAATATAATCATTTTTTCGGTTAACCAGCATTTGATTGAACGCTATTGCAAACAATAGAAATGTAGGTAGTGCGATGGTCGGTACTTCCGTAGTATGTGTACCAGGTT